TCAGAACGGCTTTGGGCTTTTTAACAGCAATACTAGAAGCAAGAAGACAGTAGACTAATGCCTATAAAGTTCTAAAGAGAAAAAAATATCTACAATTTAGAATCCTGTATCCACTAAACTATCAACTGAGAGTATTTCCAGATATGCAAATTACTAAAATATTTATCTCCCACACACCTTTCTCAAGAAGTTAGTGGGGAATGTCACTCCCACAAAATTGGGAGACTTAAAAAAAAAGAGAGTAGGATGGAACATATAGGAAGATGGGCGGGGCGGGGGGAAGACCCAAGAAAGGAGTGAGGCGTAAGAAGTAGCGGGAATGGCAGCTGTGCACTAGATTGGAGTCTGGTGACCCAGGAGACACATCCCCAGGGCTGTCGATACTAAGATTCCCACTGCTCTTATGTCAAGACTGCCTGTCAGTTTGGTCCAGGTTCTTTTTGGTACTTATCTGATTTTGACCAAACCTAGTGGCATTTCTGTTCTCTCCACCATGCCCCGGAGGGTGAACAGATCAGCCTACTTTAAACACCCCAATCCCACAGGCGATGCTTTGGCACTCCAGAGGACCAGAGGGAAGCAAGGGTGAGCTGAGACACAGAAAACAGAAGACTGCTTCTTCAGACTGTGTCTCTGCCAGACACCCAGGACTGGACTCACATACCAGCCCCGCCATGTGCCCCAACTATGGTGGACTCTGATTTCCAGGATTCACTATGGCATATAAATTACCAGGGAAGCTAAAGCCAACTATGACCCAGAGAAGGTTTTGTTGATCTTCTAAAAGCCTTGATCTAACAGTGACAGTACTGCCCTTTCCTTACCGGCTAGGTTTTGGTTTACAGCACAGCTTTTACAATCCAAACAATGTATTATTCAGGGAGACATACATTAAGCGGCAAGACTCTAAAGAAAAGAAAGGTTAACATGGAAATGGAGATAATGGTTATTTGTAGATGGTGAAAAGAGAGAAGGAAGTGTAAGTGGACACGGGCAGGGAGGGAGTCCTTAAGATAGTGCAGGTTCTATGTTTAACGTGGGTGGTAGGCACATAGGTGTTTATTTTTATGATTTCTTTAAATATTTGTTTTATAGTCTTATGTATGATTCATTGAACAATCACAGCACAGACTGCAAAGTCGAATTTCCCTTCTTTTACAGGAAAAAGCAACATTTTTACTGAAATATCCGTATCTCAGGAATATCCAAGCTCCCGCCCCCAAAAGCCTTGATTACAATTCACTGCTACCTGAATATTATCTGTGTGTTGACCCTTCACTTTGTAGTGCAATGTGAAAATTCAGGAGACTGAAGCCAAGTTCACAGGACAAAGAGAGTCTGAAGTTTTTAGTCCTCTATCGCAGTAACATTTTGATTAAAAAACAAACAAACAAAAACAAACAAATCAAAAAAACCAATTTACTATTCATGTGGTAACATCTATTTGTGGTGACATCTGAGACTATCCTGTTTATGTTTTTCAAAAACCGTGTTGAAATTGTTCTTTGTGCATTTTATTTTTTGTAGTAAATTGAAGTACAAAGTATAGGTAAGGAAAAGAAATCAATCTGAAAGCGCAGAATGCATGATTTAGAAGATCTACTTCATTCATTCGACAATGATTCCACTCCTGGATGTGGCTGAAAAGGTGCAAACTCCAGCTTTGGACTTGTGAATGTAATCCAAGCCAGGAAATGCAAACCATACAGATCTTAGGAATCTGGTAGGGAACACTTCGTTCTGTCCCCCACCCTCTTCTGGTCAGTGGTGTGACCATCTTCCCACTGTGAGGTACTCCCTAGAACGGGTTGGCCACCGAAGATCCGTCTGTGGGATGTCTCCATCAGAGACGTTATGGTCTCCCAATCTCTTTCCCGGCATGGCCCTCACACACGGCACGGCTACATGCACGTCACACTGGCCAGTGCCATGAGGCCTCCCGAGCCAACCAACATCTCAGCACACCAACAGCTCATCTGCTCCTTCCTGGCACATAAGGCTTCTCAGCTGGGAAGGTTGGGTCTGCATAATACAATAGCACAGGGAGGTATCTTCTGCCAAAAGCCGAAGGAAGAGCAACTCTCAAGGACAAGGTGGGCTGATCTTCAAAGATGGCCAAGACTGACAATCAGATGAATTCTTTTTCTCACTTCTTCCTCTGTAGCATTTTCCCTAGTGTTGAACACGTAAAATCAACAGAAACATCTGATGACTGCGGTCACAATACAACAAAATGGAAAAACAAAACCAAGAACAACCCAAGGGTCATCATCAAGTTTTCTGTTTTATTTAAGATTTTAGTTTTAATTCTGAAGAAAGAGGTACATTTCCTTGTTTTTAGTTTTAGCGTCAGGTTATAACCAGGTTTCTGTTTTCTTTTCTCCTGTCTTTTCAATACTGCACAAACGTCCAGAAACTACAGGGTTAAGTAAAAGCGGCAGGCAAGGAGGTCAGAGATTTGCTCCTGATGGTGATCAGATGGCCCCAGAGCAGTGCTATCTCAGAGTGCCCTAGTCAGGCGAATTTAAGGTAAAAGAAAAAAAGATTCTGACAGAGGAGAAAGACTGGAGAAATTACTTATATTTCAGCTCTTATGTTATGCATAGGTATTAAATCTGTGAATGCTTTTCTTCTTTAAAACATTTGAATTTACTTTAAATCTAAAGCCAAAAATTTTTTTCTCCTTTTAAAAAAAATCACTTCTCCCCTCCTTATAAACTCTTTAGCAATAGGCCAGTTACTATTACAGATCAATTTGTCTTTCTACCAACTTCCAATAAATTCTTTTGCTTAACGACACAATCAAGTCCTCTCCATCAACTTGCCGAAAGAATTAAAAATTCAATTAAATTAAAAGCATTTTTCCCTGCAATAGTCATAAGCTGAATACAAGATGGATGCCAGGACCACTTCTTTCCCCCATGCACTTAGCAATCTCATTTCAATTAACCTGGTTTTCAAACTTTTGCAGTTGATAATGCATTTACTTGACCTTTCCTAAAGATTAATCGTCATTTTCTGCTAAGCAGATTATGTCATTATTATGCGCGACAGACAGACAGTAATTTTCTAAGTATTGAGACTGCCCTTTGATTTTTTTTTTTCCTCCTTAAAAAAGGCATTTTTAGGAAACATTCAACAGTGTCACTCAAATGCTGATCAAAAGAAACTTTTACAATTAAAAAAAAAAACCAAAGCTGGTCATGACCCTGTGATCGCATTGCATCTGGGGGTGGGGAGAAAAAAAAATTGATCAGGAACTGGATTCTTCAGAACGTAAGAGATGAGCAGGGAGCGGTGGGTGGGCTGAGAGGGAGAAAACAGGGTGGGACAAATCCTGCATTTTCTAATGGTTTCTCTTCTTTCCCTAATGGCGGTCCAGTGTTGAACTCTGTAGTAAATCTGTGGGGGTTTTGCTGGGGGGTCTGAAGGCTGTCTGAAAGCCTGGGGGTGGGGAGTGGAAGCTGGAAGGATTTGAAGGAGGAGGGTAGGGATTCCAACTGGCTCTGTGCAGGGGGATCTGTGTGCTGAAGGGGGCGCTGTGGTGGGTCTGTGATGGAGCCGCACTGGGGCCGTCCATCTCTGTGAGGGCCTGAAGAGATTTTAGCCAGTGTGGAGGATTGTCGTCTTGAAGAGAGTCTAAACTGTTTCCTGAAGTTGCTGGAATACCTGAGGAGAGAAAAGAAAACAAGAGGGAAAATGGTGAGTCTGGGCAGAAAGAACCAGAAAGCCAGCAAACAGAGAATGTTTCAGGTATGATTAATTTACCCAAAAAGAAACAGAAAAATTACAGTCTTCAAGTCCTTCCAAAGAAGACCTTTTTAACCTTATGTTCTTTTGGCTCCTCCACCCCCAAGGAGGATTCATCGTGACAGAAACCCATGCCTCTTCTTCCACTACATAGACACTGTCCCCCACTGTCACAGAGGCAGAGCTGCAAAACCTAGTCCCCACAGTTGGACGCCATCACTTCCCAATGGCGCTTCTCCTTCTCTGACGAGGATACGTACACAGGAGAGCCTTATAATAGAGAGCTTTATTTTAAAAAGTGGAGTATGTTCCTTTAAAAGGATAAGTCAGATACTTTTGTGCTTTGAGACCTGAAAAATACATGCTGTGAGCACCTCCTTACACCCAACGAACCAACCTAGGCGTCAAGTGTCTCATACAACGAGGCCGACAGAGTCCCCAGGGACTGCATGACCCTGGACAGCGAAACCGGGCACCCCACGCTTGCGGCTTTGCGAAAAGAAGCTTATGTTGAAGAGACCTCTGTTTTTTATCTCATCGGTGCTAAAAACCAAACGGATGGCAGTCAGTGGGGCTGAAGGAGGGAGAAATTACCTGTGATGATGGCTGGGTCTGTCCAGCTGCCAGGGCTGTCCCAACTCAGGCTGTCGGTGGTGGCAGGGTTGGATGTTGGTGCACTGTGGTTGGCGTTGGAGGGGGAGGAAGAATTGGGCAGTCCACCAAAGTTGATGTTAATGTTGGGTAGAAGTGCCCTTAGCCCGTCCTGCCATTCCTTCATATTTAAACTCTCTACAGAACTGCTGTTGTCTGGGAGATTTACCAACAAAAAAATGAAAGATAAAAAAAAAATAAAAAGCTGACGTTAGAAACATATGTTGTTCTTTAGTGGTTAAGCGGGAGAAGAATTATTCTTTCTTTACTGAGCATTAAAGATGGGCTGTCCTAAGCAAGATAAACGTGGTTAGGATTTTGCTCATGAGCTCAGAGCCCCTGAAATCAGTGAGGAAAGACTTGCTCAAGGATCAGGAGAGGGAGCATCTCATCCTTCCTATAGACACTTCACCATCTTGCGCTTGTAAATCAATAATCCAGTTTAAAGACTCCATGCTCCAAAGCACAACTGAGTTCCAGCTACATTATGAAGTTTCAGTCAGTAAGGCATTTAGCCGGCTGAGCTGATTTACTCTATGAAGCCTGCAAAGTTCAATACAGGAGCTCATTTCTGAGCCCGTTAAATGGAAGAAAAGTCATTTTATGAAGAATAAACATAAGCCAATAGAAAAGGAAAAATAATTAAGTTCTTCCTCATGATAAAACTGGTAATGCATTTCAGAGGAGAAAGGCAGGAATGAATAGGCTTTTGAATTTGAAGAGAGTATTTTTCCGTTAGTCATAAAGGCTGAGCAGGCAGAGGCTAAGCTACCTTTCAGATGGGATAATTTCCAGCACAGTCTACCTACTCTATTCCAACAGATCCACCGACCATTTTAAAACTCAAGTCCTAGAGTCCTACAGTCAATTCTCTGGTTCTATTTATGAATAATGTCATATATGACAAGACACTATCAATGTAAAAAGGCTTTTTATAAATTGTGACTGAACTAACTTGATCTACTACCATCCAGAATCCACATGCTCTAATTGGTTGGAGGGGAAAGAGTGAAGCACAGCTACCAGAGTAATTGTTTCATTGGAAACAGGAATGTAGGTCAAACTATCAACCGAGGTTTTTGAGAAGAGCATAGAGAATTGATTAGCAATCACCAATGATGATGATGATGATATTCTATCAGGCAGTCTATGCTATTTGGTGAATTCAGAATTTTCTTTTTATAATTTTGCTTTGCACCAATTACTATTCTATGCCAAATGGTATCATGTTTCAGCAAGTGAAGCATTTAACCCTACTGACCTTATTTATAAAAAGGAAAAAAAAAAAAACTACAACCAAACCCAACAAAAGTCATCCCTGAATTACTAAGATGAAGAAGAGGCCATCTACGCCATATAGACAAGTCAAGATAAGGGAAAATAAATTCCTCAAACCTTCTTTCCTTTCACAATCAATGCCGTTTCCTAAGACTCATCCTTCTGTCTGCATCCTACTTTACATCCGCACTGAATTGTACAATTTACAAGGCTCTCTCATAGTCAATTATTATTTCATTTGACCCTCATGTTGTGATGCAGGCAGAGCAGAGAGAACCATCTCCATTTAACAGATAAAGAAACACACTCCAGAATAATTTGCTCAAGGTCACATAACTGGTATAGTAAGGACTTGAACCCAGACCTTACCTGAGTTGGTTTCTTTTAATAACACCAAGCTCTCTCTCTTGATCTACATGGTACAGACTATTAACTGACTTTTTAATGGGTCAAATACTTAAGGGAAAAGCCAGGGGCCTATAAGACCCATGACTAAAAGGAGGCAAAAAATAAACACAGCAACATTATAGTGTATCTATTGGCCATGATTAGCAGGATAGACAAATATTTTGGCCGAAGGAACAAACTGGACTCTGCAGTCAATTCAGGGGCTGGGGGCGGATTTCTAATCAACAGTGCAATCATCTTCACTCTGGCTCCAACTGCATGCGGTACTAACAAGATCATTTTAGTTTTAAAATACCCTCTATTACAGGAAGATTTGGTGACTATGCCACATTCGAACCTTTAAAGTGGTCAAACTGGGGCGCCTGGGTGGCTCAGTCATTAAGTGTCTGCCTTCGGCTCAGGTCATGATCTCAGGGTCCTGGGATCGAGTCCCACATGGGGCTCCCTGCTCTGCGGGAAGCCTGCTTCTCCCTCTCCCTCTCCCTCTGCTTGTGTTCCCTCTCTCGCTGTGTCTCTCTCTGTCAAATAAATAAAATCTTAAAAAAAATAAAAATATATAAATAAATAAATAGTCAAATTGTCAGACTGTATAACTTAAAATGGTTTTCAATCAACCAGAAACTGAACTCTAAACAAGGAAAGCTTCCCAGGAAGGAAATAAAATCCCCCTGATATAAAAAGATGATGTATAACTACATGGGGAAATTCTGAGGAAGATAAAGCTCTTGAACTAAGTAGCTGAAGTCAGTAAGAAGCTTATGCAGATGATTTGAGCCCCTCTTTTCCACCAAATCGAGAAAAAGAAAATACTCCATAACTCAATAATACCAATTTTCTCCTTACTTTTGCTTTATGTTTAGTGAGTACTGGAACTAAGGAACCCCTAATTTTGCATTAACAGAATAATATTTGCATTTATATAAAGTTTATTTGAAAATTAGTATTGCAATAAAGTCAAAAGACATTTGTGCATGGGTAGGGGATATACAGGAACTTTGCACTTTCCACTCGGTTTTGCTGTAAACTTAAAACGCTCTAAAAAACAAAGCTTTTTTTTAAAAGATGTTTCTCTGATTTTAGACTAATGAAATCAAGCAAGAGTACGCCTGACTCTTGAACAACAGAGATTTAAGCTGCATGGGTCAACTTACGGGCACATTTTTTTTTTTTCGATAATACAGTACAGTCCTGTAAATGTATTTTCTCTTCCTTATGATTTCCTTAGTAATATTTTCTTTTCTCTAGCTTAATTTATTGTAACATACATAACATACAAAATATGTGTTAATTGACTATTTATGTTATTGGGTAAGGCATTCCGGCCAACAGTAGGCTATTAGTAGTTAAGGTTTTAGGGAGTCAAAAGTTATACGTGGATTTTTGCCTGCACAGGGGTTTGGTGCCTCTAACCCCAAGTTGTTTAAGGGTCAACTCTATGTTGACCAAAGGAACTCACATATGGCACATGATAACAGAAACAGTGAAAAACTCAGATCATCCCACGTGAACTATAAGATAGCTTGAGAAATAAATTAGCTAGTTTATAATTCTTACAATCTTGTCAAAAAAACAAAGTCATGTACCTAGACATCTTGGGACCCTGAGAGCATGCATGACTGATTTACAGTGAAGCTGCACATGGACTGACTGACATCTTTAGCTCTTGGAATGGGACCACTAATTCCAAGGAGCTTCGAACAAGAAGAGCAATTTTCTTCAGCTTTCTCCACTGTTGCTATGCCAAGTGTTGGCACAAAGAAAGGGCAAATGAAAGGGAATTAACTAACGCCTACCTTCATCAAAACAGCTCTCTTAGTCCAGCCATACTTGAACTCACCTCCTTTACCTCCCCATCCCCCATTGCCTCGGACTCAAATTTGTTCCGGTAATGAGGGCTTCTGGTAATCCATTCCTTGCAATACACAACAGCAGGGGTTATTAGCAGGGGTTATTAGGTACTACTGACATTTTGGACTACATAATTCTTTGTTGGGCGGGGGTCGGGGGGAGCTGTTCTATGCATTACAGGATGTTTAGTAGCATCTCTCGCCTCCACCCATCAGATGCCAGGAGCTCACACACCCCAGTTCTGACAACCAAAAATGTCTCCAGACATTGCCAAGTGATTCCTGGGGGAGCCAAAAATGGTCCCTGGTTGAGAACCACTGACACAAAGGAAGTCGGTTCCTTTGTATCTGGGGCTCTGAAAAATCCCACTTGAATACATATTTCCCTTTAAGATCGTACCAGAACTTTGATCACTGGACTCAACTTGATGCAACTTCATTTCCCTTTCTTGATACAGAACTTCACACTGGGGTGCCACTGAGAATGTACAAGTCAGTAGGTCTAATGGGGAAAATATTGGGCGGAAAATTGCAGATGGCCTTTATAGTCAGCTCTACACTGGTAATTAATACAACCTAAGGCATCTAAGTAAGTCTCTTCATATCCCAGGGCCCTATTTCATAAGTAGGAATAACATCTGCCTTACTCTCTTGTAGGGATAAAATGAGAGAAGAGAAAGCAATCTGAAGCCCATTTATTACTTGATAAATGCCTAATAACAATTTTTTATCAGTATTCAATACTGAATAGACAGTAAACTTTCCAAAAAGCCAAGGCAGAGGACTCCTCACTTGCCAGAAACTGGCTCCGTACAAACAGTCTCCTCCTTGGGAATGTAGGGATAACACCCAGCATCTTCACAGAGGGATTATATAGTTGATCTAAATGATAAGTCTTCTCACCACCAAAATATTGCAAAGACAAATAAGATATGGGAAAGCACCTTAAACTTTCCACAAGCAAAGCACAATGAAAATCAAGTTACTGAACGTATTTTCAATTAGAAATTAGATACTATTTGATTTTTAAAGCATTTAATTAGTTGTAGTATAATACAATCCAGGAAGAACTGTATATTTTTAAAGGACTGCTAATAATGTTTTAAATGTTTTATAATGTTAAAAAAAACTAATTTTAATTTATAATTTTCAGATATGTACAACAAAATACTATTCTGGGGTCTAAATAATTTGAGGGCAGGAAAGCAGGTCAAGTTGTTTGTAGTAGTTTTATTTTTCAGTATAGAACTCAAAGACATAAAATTTAAAATACCTTCAAGGTTCCAGATACCACATTCTCATATGCCATTGGGTAAGAAGTATCAGTATACTTTCAGTTTCCCTGGACCCCCATACACCACAGAGAAGAAATTATGTCTAAAATTCGGCCAGCTTGGCGATTACCTAACACCCAGTCCATAACATGTTGGTCACAGCACACGAAGCAGGTTGACAAATCTGGTTTTTAGCAACAACAGCAACAACAAAAATTATAAAATGTATGTGTAAAGATGACCAAGATCAAAGTTAAATAAGCAACTGTTTACTGAAGGCATACAGTATGCAAGGAGAACAAACAACTTCAACTTTGTCTCCCGTTCTCAAGGAGTTTAAAGTCGAGACGGTGAGACAATGTAAATACAGGAAAAATTCAACAATGACAGTCTGGACGAGCAACAGAAGAAATGCCACCGGGTTGTATGTGATTAATAAATGCTACAAAGTTTAGTAAAAAGAGAGGCCAGTGAGGCACGCATGTGGAAATGTCTGCGGGGGGGCGGGGGGGGTTGGGTAAGGACAGGAGCAATCATTCATTCACCGAGTGGCTTTATTTACTTCATAGATAGCTTGAGCCTCAGACATCCACAACACTAGACTTAGACCAACTACTAAGTAGGATGTATAGAGAAAGGCATGTTTTATAAGCAATGGCTCCACAGTTGACCCTGACGGAACATGGGTTTGAACTGCGCGGGTTCACTTACATGTGGATTCTTTTCAGTACAGCACTATGAAATGTATTTCAATATTTAAATATATTTTAATATTTATATTAAACATATTTTCTCTTTTCGGTGCCTCTAACTCCTCACTGTTCAAGGGTCAACTGTATTATAAGATAAAATTAGCTGTATTCGGACATCAAATCTTTGACAGAAAGTCCTGGGGCGCCTGGGTGGCTCAGTTGTTAAGCGTCTGCCTTCGGCTCAGGTCATGATTCCAGGGTCTTGGGATCAAGCCCCACATCGGGCTCCCTGCTCGGCGGGAGGCCTGCTTCTCCCTCTCCCTCTCCTCCTGCTGTGTTCCCTCTCTCACTGTGTCTCTCTCTGTCAAATAAATAAAATCTTTAAAAAAAAAAAAGTCCTAAAGCAGGAAAAAGATGAATAGTTTAGGCAAGAACACAGCATTATAGCAGCTTAAGCGGGTTTCTCTTTCTGTTCCTCAGGTTAACGGCAATGTGTTCATCATTAGGAAATGAAAAACTTTGCTACTGATAGCAAAATTGTGGGAAAACCTGCTCTTTGTAAGTTGTCACTGGTGACAAGCTAATGAGTTTTTCCAGTCTGCATAAAATCTTCACCTGAAGACTGAATTTCAGATTGGTTTCAGACTGCAAAACCATCTCAGGAGCCCCTGGGGAGGATGCGGAGGGGACAGGGCACTAAGACAGCATATCCTCCTCCCATTCTGCTTTCATCTATGTCACATATGAGGGTGCCAGGTAAGACTGCATTCGAAAACCAGTACCTGCTGCTCGGTGTGAAGACAGGAGATCTGTGTGCAATGACAACACGGTGAGAACAAACACACATAAGGGGAACCTGAAAACAAAAGGCCATCCCAAGTATTCGTTTCCTGTAATACAGTCTGTACCACCAGGTCAGGATTTTCTGTCTCCTCTTGGAAGCCTTGCCTCTACCTTCTTTTTGGCACCACCTCTGTAAGGTTTTTTCGTTAGAAACACAGAGGCCTTATTAATTAAACTGGCTAGATGCAGCTAAATTCACGGACCCACCCATTTCTCTCCTTTCATGTTTGCTAGGGACAACTGGTCCACATCCTCAGTCTTAGGCTACTCCATTCTTATCTGCCGTCCCTATGGCAGAGACATCTTCAATTTCAAGTTAAATTCCTATCAGTGCTCAAATCCTTCCCAACTGGGCAGCAGTCATCGAGAGTCCCAAATACACCTAGAAGAGTTTATTCTGCTCTCCAGTTTTTAAGCCTTATCTAATGGTTACTCCTCAAAGCCTCAACTGGCAACCTGATCGTTTTCCAAAAAGCTTTTATCTTCCTTTCCTTTACTGCTGTCCTTTATAGTCAAAGTCAAAGTCAAAGGCTCCCTCCAGTGGCTAGGTTACTTAGGGAAACAAATCTTTCTTGGTACAAGCTGTTGTACATTTGAAATTTAGTTCCCATTATGGTTACTCCTTGCCAGTTACTCTCAAATATTCATGCATTTTTAGAAGGACACACAGTCATCCTATCTCAGGCTCTACCCCTCTCTATGCCACCTCCCTACCCCACCTCACCCTGTTATATATATGATTTCCTATCAGTTTTGGATGAAGTGCATCTCCGTCAGGACAGGATTTTAAAAAACCCTAAACCTTCTCCAAACTTCAATAACATATCTCTGAGCAACTCAAATATAAATGAATTATGCTTGTCCTTATATGTTAAACCAAACTTTAAAGAGCATACAAAATTCCTCCTACCAGAACTTGAAAGCAAGCTTTATTGTATCGGCATGCTGTACTTTTTAGGTGAGGCTCAGAAATAATTTCAATTTATAAACTAAAATTTGCAGGGAAAATGACGATTTTGTGAATAAATTCCTTCAGGTTTATGAAAAAAAATGTTATTCTACTTAAACAAAAAGAAATGACACTAAATTTCTAGGATTATGATTATAAATCAGGACAGGCCAGTACTGCAGATTTACTGGGGCACAAAATGTTAAGGATTTAATAGATTTGAAAGTAGAGATTAAACTAAGTGAAAAATCCTAAGAATGCAAATGAAAAAAGTTCTGAGAACACAAGGAACTTGAAAAAGAGTAATAATAAAAAACAACCAAAATTTATTACTAATAGAAGCAGAAATGACATAAACAGGGAAAGAGAGGCCGTGAGGCTCAGCTAAATATGGCCTTGGCTTCCTGGACTCTGCCTTTATTTCGTGCTTTTTTCCCTCTCTAGAATGCTTTCCTGCTTTTTTCTAATTCATTTTTATTCACTCTTCCAAAAGTTTAAGTCTTTTCTCTTCCACTCAGATCATTCTAGAACAGTACTTGTGGCCTGAATCACACTCACTGGGCAGCAAACTGCTGTGACCCCACTATGGTTGCTGCTCACCCTTCTCAAACCTCTCAACTCTATTGCTCTATTTCAAGGCCTATAAGGGTGTATTTTGTATATCCTTCGGCATGTTGCTGTCTTAGAAACTTGATGTGCCTTAAGATATCTGCTGAATCAAAGATCCAACTTGAGAAGAGCTGAAAAATCACTTTCCCCTAAAAAGCCTGTTTAATTCATATTTGTATAATGCTATGAATCAAATCATTCTCTCCAAAGAGATGCAAATCTTTCTGAAAGCAGGAATCAGCTAGGTTTGGGGGGGCCAAAAGGCTTTTCTGCATGTCAACTGAGGGAAAAGAGCCACTATAATGATATGTTTTCAATAGTGTTTGAGATGCATGTACACTTTTAAAAATCCAATGCACCAAAATTAAATAAGGAATGCTTGGGAGATACTAAATGCTCTTCTGGTATGGACAAAGTCCTACGGGCATAAAGAAGAAAATGAGCTATTCTTCCATTCTGCATGCAGGTAAGTGGTGACTCGAGAAGCTGATATTGAAGAGGACATGGACATTCCATACAGAACAGAGAGCAGCAGATCTAAAATATAGTAGAAGTATTTCAAAATATAAGTAGATGTGTTTTGCACAATGTGTACCTTTTTCTTCTAGAATGTTCCTATAAGTCTGTTTTAGGGGAGAATCAGATCATCCAATGAGAACCAGGAAAACATCCAGCTGTTTGTTTTATGAAGGATCTAAGGAAGTAGAATCTATTTTTTTTTAATGGAAAAATACTTACGGAATGATGTCTATACATAAAGCTATATAGAGAGTGAGGAAAAAGTACACTTAAAAGTTAATGCAAAAGATAAATACATCTCAGAAGCATTACAGACTGGATTAGATGGAACCTGAACCAGAATATAGAAGCAACAGAGCTAAAGGATCAGAGGGGCAAAAATCAAATCTAAGAAATCTATAAAATCTGAAATTGGAAGCACAAAGGAAAGCATTCAAGTGAACACAAAACTGAGCACTATGAACAAAGCATTGTGAGGCAATCCAAAGACAATCAGGGGGGCTTATCATCCAGGGGAGCATATAGAAGTCACCAGAATATGGTTTCACCAAGACAAATGACAAAAGTACACAGACATGGGGGGCTGACAATCACCCTAACATCTCTGAGGTCTGAATTTGCTAGAAGAAGATAAACCTAATAAAACTGACTTCCTGACAGTCTCTCTTTCCCTGGAAACAAGGAGGGAAACGTATTCTGGACTTCTGACCAACAAAGAACTGGTTGGCTGTTGCGAACATAACAGAAGCCCTAAGAGTTTGTGACATCATTTTAGGATTTACAGAATCAAAAAATGGGAATAACTTAGACTGGTGCTCTTGGATAGCAGGCATCCTGGCTATTTCTGCAATTACCACAGTGCACTGCAAATACTTGTTTATGTGTAAGCTTTTGTCTACTAAACTATGAGCTCCTCTAGGAAAGGGGCATTGATTTAATGCTCTTTGTATATCATGAACAGTTCCCAAACCTGGACCTCAACAGGTATTTAATGTTTCCTAAACAAACAGCCCTGAACATCTGCTTCCAGATTTTTGGAGAAAGCAGGTTTCCACAAAACGTTAAAAAAAAAAAAAAGTATGGCTCAGGGTGGTCCCATGGTTATAAGGGACAATGATTCATAGGCTGCAAGAATAAATGATTCTAACAAAGAAAAGAAACTGGGGAGAAATCTAAAGAAACCAGTTGTTACAGAGGTAGAATCACACAGGATTAGAATTGAAAAAAATGCTTAGGAAAAATGGATGGAGATAAAAAACCTACCTGTCTGTAATAAGAATGTCATGATCCTTGAGGACTAAAATCAGAACACGTAATGATCTGAAGCTTGTGGACAATGTTGAAGGCAAGAAAAAGCTAAGTTTGGAATAGGAGAAAATTAGGAAAAGCCCCTGTGCAGCTTGGTGTCATAATGCTAAGCCCCAAGAGAAGGCAGGGCTATGCAGTTCCATCTTCATTTTGCGTCTTTCCATCTTCTTTATGAAAAGAGCACAATCCTCAAACCAGAATGGACAGATTAAGCAATGTGGAGAAGAGAACTGTAAGTCAGTAAAGACGCAAAGACAATAAAAGAACATCCACTCAATTTAAATGAGTTTTAAATCTTTAGGTGCAAAATGAATTAATTCTATTCCAGGGAATTAATCCTCACAGATGTGATCACAAAACCACTGTTAAGATAAGTGCTGGAAAAGGAGAAAATGGCGGACTCTAGAAGCTACATGCTTATAATTAGTTCTTGGGAAAATCTGTAACAGATTAGGAGCTGGATGATTTCCTTAGAAATGAGTGACAGGTTTAGCAAGTCCTGCTGCTCTATTGCTTGCATTTGAGGGCATATTTCATGGAAAATAATATGCAGCATTTTGGCTAGAACCTTAGCTTCCTTCCAATTGAAGTGCACAGGAAGTTAAACTTTAATTCTCTAGTGGAATAGGTAGGTAGTCATGGAGGCAGCTTCTACTGACAACTGTTTTCCACTGGAAATGTCCTCTTTCTTTCTACCATGGTCCCTTTTCCTTTCTTCTTCTGCTACCTGTACAAACTCAAGACTTTGAAACCAGCTACTTTCCCATCCCACTGACACACCAACTCCATAAAACAAATGGAATAGAGGGATCAATGAGAGCCAAAATGCATTTTTATAAAGAAGCAATCATATCAAAATAATTTATTCCTTGGATGGGCTTTCTAGGATATCCTAAGTATAATATATCTTGAGTTGAGCTGTTTCTGGTAAGTCTTCTAATGGTAATCTTTTGGGATAAGATGTAAAGTGTAGCATTGGATAACAGCAGTGTTTAGATGAGTTTTTACAAAACTTAAGGTACTGTGTGTCAGCCTGAAAGTTTCTGTGATACTATTCCATTTACAATTGCACCAAAACCAGTAAGATATCTAGGAATAAACCTACCCAAAGAGGTGAAAAATCTATACCCTGAAAACTATAAAACACCGATGAAAGAAACTGAAGATGACATAAAGAAATGGAAAGATATTCCATGCTCATGACTAGAAGAACAAATATTGTTAAAATGTCTACACTACCCAAAGCAATCTACATATTTAATGTGATTCCTATCAAAATACCAACAGCATTTTTCACAGAGCTAGAACAAACAATCCTAAAATTTGTCTGGAACCACAAAAAAACCCAAATAGCCAAAGCAATCTTGAAAAGCAAAGGTGGAGGCATCACAATTCCGACTTCAAGTTATATTACAAAGCTATAGTAATCAAAACAGCATGGTACTGGCACAAAAATGGACACATAAATCAATGAAACAGAATAGAAAACCCAGAAGTGAACCCACAATTATATGGTCAATTAATCTTTGACAAAGTTGGAATGAATTTCCAGTGGAAAAAGTGTGTTCAATAAATGGTGTTGGGAAAACTGGACAGCAACATACAAAAGAATGAACCTGGACTATATTCTTATACCAAACACAAAAATAAATTCAAAATGGATTAAAGACCTATGAAACCTGAACCCACAAAAATCCTAGAAGAGAGCACAGGCAGTAACTTCTTTGATACCGGCCATAGCAACTTCCTTCTAGATATGTCTCCTGAGGCAAGGGAAACAAAAGCAAAAATAAACTATTGGGACTACATCAAAATAAAAAGCTTCTGCACAGTGAAGGAAAGGATCAACAAAACAAAAAGGCAACCTACAGAATGGGAGAAGATATTTGCAAGTGACATATCTGATAAAGGGTTACTATCCAAAATACATAAGGAACTTATAAAAACTCAACAACCAAAAAACAAATAATCCAATTAAAAAATGGACAGAAGACATGAATAGACATTTTTCCAAAGAAGCCATACAGATGGCCAAGAGACACATGAAAAGATGCTCAACCTCACTCATCATCAGGGAAATGCAAATCAAAACCACAATCAGATACTACCTCACACCTGTCAGAATGGCTAAAATAAAAAACACAAGAAACAACAGGTGTTGGCGAGGAGGTGGAGAAAAAGGAACCTTCTTGCACTGTTGGGGGAATGCAAACTGGTACAACCACTGTGGAAAACAGTATCAAGATTCCTCAAAAAGTTAAAAATAGAACTACCCTATGATCTAGCAATAGCACTGCTGGGTATTTACCCAAAGTTACAAAAACACCAATTCAAAGGGATACATGCGCCCCTATGTTTATAGCAGCATTACCTACAATAGCCAAGATACAGAAGCAGACCAAGTGTACACTGATTGATGATTGGATAAAGAAAATGTGGTATAAATATACAACGGAATATTACCCAGTCATAAAAATGAATGAAATCCTGCCATTTGCAAAATGAAGCTAGAGTATTATGCTAAGTGAAATAAGTCAAAGACAAATACCATACGATTTCACTCATCTGTGGAATTTAAGAAACAAAACAAATGAGCAAAAGGGAAAAAGAGAGAGAGACAAACCAAGAAACAGACTCTTAACTATGGGGAACACACTGATGGTTACCAGAAGGGAGATGGACAGGGGAGATGGGTTGAATGGGTGATGGGGACTAAGGAGTGCACTTGTGATGAGCACAGGGTGATGTATGGAAGTGTTCAATCACTGTATTGTACACCTGAAATAAATATTACACTGTATGTTCAGTGGAATTTAAATAAAATTTAAAAAACAGTAAGTTTCTGTGATACTGCTTCCCTTATCTTTGACTCCATACTTTTTATCAAGCTCAGCAAAACCCACAAAGTTAATTTAAATATGCAAATGGAAGCCAATTCTAGAGATGACAGAATCAGTAATTAAAATTACAGCTATTCAATTAAAAATCATTGAATTCTTCACATAAATGTTAATGTTACCAATAGCATTTATCTATCTCTTTAAAATCATAGTTCTTTCATAAGACAAACTTGTAAGACGGTGATACACAAACGGTATACTCTAACCTCATCAAATCGAAGCACAAAATTTAAGAGGTATATACATTCAGATTTTTAAAAATGTATTAGGAAAGTACAGTATGAAAGAGATCTAACTAACCAGTCACATGTACGAAAAAAGGGTCTAGTGGTTTTACTCAATAGCTTATATCTAATATGACAAATGGGTAATGGAATTTCTAAAATGGTAACATTAAGACTATGTATGTAAATAGATGTGCAATGTTTACATTAGCAATTGTAGGACAATGGGCAAACTGCAAGTGAAACCACTCTGAGCCTCAGGTTCCTCACTTACGAAATGGGGGTAATACCTACGCCCACAGGACATTTTTAAAAAAGGACTCTGTAAACTGTAAAGGAATATACAAATATACAGAATAAGAACAGTTTTAATGAAAAAATAGATCTATTATCTGAACACATCAGGATCATTAAAGTGTGATTTTCTTATATTTTAAGAAAAGCATTCCTTGTCCAATCAAAATACATGTAGAGGAGAACTAGACTACAGGGAGAACTAGAATCCATGCTAAGTGTAAAATGGTTGGAAGGCCTAAGAATGCTTCATCTACCTCTAGAAGTTACCAGACAAGTGGTAACCCGCCTTCACATATTTGACAAGAAGTATAAATGGGAAATAGATTTTGGTTTCACCAAAAGAAAAAGTTCTTTAAGAATTATTAGTTGCCTTTAAAAGACTTTCTGAATTGTGTGTATATGCCTGTTTTAGGGGAAGATGTACACACATTCACACACACATGTATATTCACTTATGTATTTACGTATTTATTTATGGGTATCACAAATGAGAAACTGGAAGTAAGAAAAAAGTGTTATTAGGTGACATTCTAAAAACTGTGAGAGTGCTTTGTGGGGATGGTGTTGAAGAAATAAGTAAACGGCAAGAGTCGAGGTTTCCAGAGTTCAGAGATAAAGAAGACAGAAGAAAAGGTTTGATCATGGAGTGGAATCGACAATGAATGCCACAGTACAACCAAGACGTAAGTTGTAACTCATGTGCAAACGAATCTGAGTAAATGCTTCCAAAGTCTAGATGTAACACAAAGCACACCAGGTTCTGGAGGCCTCCAGAAGTAATCAGACACCAATATCACTCTCTCAACCATTAGCTTTCACTCAGCATTTTCTGAATGTCTACTCTGTATCTTCTTTCCTAAAAGTGATGCTGTTCTGCTTGTTGTTTTTTCTTTAGTGGTTCACTAGAGGCTGGCCATTGTGAACAAAGTCAGTGATAGCTTTTGATTGTTCAGTGCCGATAAAACGCTTTTATGGGGGTATACGTTCCTCTTCGGGCTTGTTTTCATAACCAAAGTATTTTGCTACCTGTGCAGCAAATCCCCATGTGGTTATGTGTCTACTGAAATTCCTAAGATTTCTGATGTTCATAATTTTCTAAATTAAAAGATTTCCAAATTTTCTAAGTTATTAAAAACACCAAACCCAGTTTTTTACTCCCTTTAATTACACAGCTTACTTTTATTTTGACAGTGAAGATCAGTCTCATCTTTTCCTGAAAGATGGCTCCTATCTTATCTTATGGATTTAAATCAAAGTCAGAAAAATTCCTAAAAAAAGACTAAAATTATCCATGTTCTGAAACACGATTTTAATTGACAAATTCTTCATAACCCAGCTCTGAGCTTCATTCTTAGAAAGTATCATTTCAGACATCAAAACAGTAATTTGCTTTATTTCTTAATTTCAGAAAAAAATTTCAGGAAATGAAATAGCTTTCTCATTATTTTATACTAAAAACTAAATCAAACAGATATGCATAGAGTCATGGTGATGTATATGGTAGTAAACATTTCCAACCCAACAGACCAAGCAAGCACACATCTTTAAGAGTTCTTTCTCATTGTACTAGTTACAAACCAAGAGATATTTGTTAACGTTTGGGATTCTTTTACAAATAAATGTTTGATTTTCAAACCAAGCATATATATTGTTAAATTTAGCTATTTTAGCTATATGAAATGTCTGATTAAAAAAAATAAAAGACTATTTTGCTGTTTCTTCCTCTATACTATTTATACACATACTAGGGGAAATAAAAAACTTTTGTGCTTCCATTTCTCAAGTGATGTCTCAATTTAAAAAGATTTAGTCCTAGTAAGAATGCATCCTTTGCAGATCTACAAAAGATAATACTCCTGTGGAGATTAGCATTTCAAAAAAACCCCTGATGAATTCAAAGGCTTAAATGCTCACCACTAGTCCACTAAGGGGCCTTAGTTTAAAAATCATTTAAAATATACATTTATTTAAGTGTTCATCCTTAGCTATGATTTATGATAGTTGGATCTGAAAAAGATTGCCAAAGATAGTCTTGACAGAACCAATTCTTAATCAATGTTGAGCCCTACTGTGAAGGAAGGCAGGAAGGAAAGAAGGAAAGAAGACCAAGTGAATACATTCTCAAGCTCAAATCAGAAACAACAATTCTTATTTCACCATATCCTGGAGCTTTATACTGAACTAGAACTACCATTTCAGTGAAAAAAAAAAATTTAATTCTATTAAAAATTACACATATTTGTAAAACACTGAATTTTAGTCATATTGTCTGGAAGTATTAAATGATTTTTAAAAGAGCTAAATAACTCAGAAGTTGGGGAAAGTGGGTAATACCAGTCTTACAATGTCAAAAATCTTTATCAATTCAACATTTAACAGTTGCAGTGATTGTTAATCTACTCCAAAACTCAGACTATGCTTACTGTTTAAATATGCTGTTTTAAGAGAGAAAAAGAAAAAAAAAAAAAAGATCACTTAAAACTAAATGCCAGTTTGGAAATAAGCTGAAAGATGGTAGACTGGTTCCTGGGGAGGTAACTGGGAGATGAATGATCATAGAGACTCGAATAAGCACTCAGCAGCCTGAGAGGGAGAGCCTTCTCCTTTGAAAAGGGAAAATTCGGGCCTGTCGGGGATGTTGTAGGGTAATCATACAGGGAGTGCACATTAAGATCTAGTAGAGAACTCCCTCTCTAATTGTGAAAAGTTATACGGGGAAAGAGGATTTTCTTCTTTATCCAAAGAAAGAAAAAAGCCAAATACAGAAGTGAACACAAGGTGTTAATATAAGACTCATGGTGGTCAAGAATTAAAACCTGAAAGTGTGTTATAAAACAAAGGTTGCAGGGATGTATGTATGTATTTGGAGATTATGAGATCTTTGCTTATTTTACTAATCGGCTTCATTCCAATCAAGTATCACTTAAAATACAGGCGAGGTCTTGGAAGTATACACGTAACAGCACTGACTGTGCCAAAACTCAAGATATGTTATATCTATCTGGGTCTGGGGAAGGCCACAGCTACTTTAATTAATGAACGGTTTAGAAGTAAAAAGAAACATCTGATAGCAAATCTTACCCTAAATTGGGACTTAGGGCGGATGCCTGTTAGCGCATATATATCAGTAATCCATATTTATAAGTTTTAATTAGAACTCATTTTTTAACATAAGTGAAACAATGGTATGTAGCCCAACATTCTGCTTAAAGCCAATGACATACTTCCTACTTTGGTTGATGAATTCATAACCCTGGGCCTCCTTTACCTTTAGTTGGATACTCAATTTATAGATGTAATACAGGAAAAAATAAACAGGCTATCGGTCTTCTTACAAATGCCAACATAGAAAATGACAACACTTAAAAAACAACCCAGTAATGTTCCAGATCACTATATTCTGCTCCGTAGACACATGATTTCAGTATGCAAGACTGATAACAGAGTGTAAATGTTAGCACAGTCCTTGGGATAAGATCTCACCATATAAGGAAACAGCACTAGGCTACAAAAGTTGATTGCAGTCAGCTTTCCTGCATTTCTTCTTGGAGATGGTGATGGTATTATCATCTTTAAGTCCTTGTGGAGCTTTCCCTCTGTTTCATTATGCTGAAAACAACAACCTCCTTGCTTGAAACATTATCAGCAGATATGCTATTGTTTTACATGGTGTAGCATATAGCAGTTCTTCAAGATGAGTCTGAGATGACAGCTTTAGTGTGAGTGTAGTACATCTTGGTGCCATTACTATAAGTTTTTTTTTTTCATTCTGTAATATTAGAGATGTCACCAGTCTAGTGATCATGCATGCTGCTCCTTAAATGCTCTTTGGTACTGCAGAAAAATCCTGGGTAAATTTAATTCCACCTCTGTTTTAATCTTTTAGTTCTGACATTGGTAATTAGTTTAAGTCTACATTACGAGTACCTGCTAGGTTACACCCCCCTCCACCCGTCACTAATGTTACTCCAAGATCACTGGGTCACATTTAAAACCAGTTTCCACAACTTACAGGATCTGTGATAACAGTCGTCAGTAGATGGACACTTTGAAAGCCTTCGATTCATTATTTGCACTGACATTCACAGTTGAAAGCCCTTGACTTGCAAGAACTACTATAATAATCAAACTGTAAGACACAACAAAGTTTACAGAAGAGATATATTCTGAATCTTGAAGTTTTCTTCTCCTTGAGTTACATGTATGAAGGCAAATTCAGATGGTGAGGGCTAAGAGAACTTTAAATTGTTGTTAGAATGTGATTATGGGCAAATCACAATCCTTCTGAGCCTTGTTTATTATTATCATTATTATTACTTGGTCTTTAAAGGGCAGATTGTTAAAGAGTATGTCCAGATTTCAAAGCTCTGAAATTTATTCTAATAGAAGTTTTCTTATTATCCTTTCCTTAGGTTTTCCCCAACATGGGACGGGTATGCTTACTAGTGAGACTGAAATCTGGTGAGAAAAAGCTATGAAAATATTTGTTCAGATAAAATATGGCCAGGGGTGAGAAAGGCATCAGTATTATAGCCTTGCTGTGTTTAAATAGGGTCTTTATTTCTTTAAAAAAATTTTAGAAACAGACTATAAATGCATCATTTATCCTGAACATATGAATTAAGCAGAACATAGCAGGAATAAATACATGAAACATCACAGAAAAATGGCCAGAGGCTTTTTCCTCTGCTACATTCACTAAGTGGAGAATTTAAATGGAAATTATTAAGTATAAACAACACACGTGCACACACACACATTCACCCTCACACCCATAGAGAGCGCTGCACTTATAGTATACCTCTCTGCTAAGCAAACCTTTTCTTACATGATGCTAATCAAATGTCACAAAGACAGAAATTATTATTATTGCTATTTCAAAACTATTCACATGGTTGTTTCAAACATTTTTACCTGCTCAGGAATACATGTATCCTAAAGCTTTTTTACCTATAGCTCCTTGCCTTCCTCTCTTTTATAAAGGGCGGTATATAAAAGTTGCTTCACCCACAATCTTAAGTGGTATTGTTGTGAAGAAGTATGGAATATCTGAAGGTTTAATACTTGCCTTTCAACCTACAGGGTAAAACACCGAGTCTAGGTGCACACAGCCCGAACAAAGGATAAGCCAAAATTCTCACAGCTGAAGTGGGTTATTTATTTTGCTCTTGTAACAGTGATATAATTAAAGAACAGTACTAGACCACTGGATTGTACACTTTAGTTATTTGTATGTTGTGTGAATTTCACTTCTATTTAACAAAAAAAGGTACTGGGTGCTTTAGAAGCTTTATACATTTTATGGGCCGGGGTGGGGGGAAGCTTTTGTAGTGTTGCTTTGTAATGGAGCACAATAGTGGGTCTGAGTACCAAACAGGAGCTGAACAACAAAACTGTTGTAAGCACGGTACCTTCCTGGGTCAGTTGGGAGCTTCCAGGAACCCTTAGAATAATCGCACATGTGAAGTGGACTAAGAAAAAAGTAAAGTCAATAGCTGCCGCAGGAAGCATGGTCTGAAGGAACCTGGAGAGAATGGATTGGTTCTTTCAGTACAACAATTTCCATCTGTTTCATGGAACTTCTAGGTACTTCAGTTCAATTCTCAAGCAACTTAGATTGCTTAGGCTTTCCTTCAGTTCTAGGTACCTAACAGGTATAAACTAGATTTTTGTGTAACTCAAACCCAGGGTAGACTCTCTGAAACGTTATAGAACAGAATAGATTCTCTTAATGAATCTTGAATTCTCAAGAGTGATTCTTTGGAAAAAGCTCCTGACTAAGGAAGCTGGTATTAAAGGCTGGTACGCCCAGCAATATATGGCAGCAAATCACAGGGCAGAAAGGAGATCGAAGGAGCAGTGGCTCCTCGATCCATCAGCATGGTTTCACAAACAGTATTCTTGAGCAATGACTTGTACTTTGAAGTATTATCGCTTTTAAATGTCATAGTTGATACATCAGCTGAGATATATGGATCAAGTCCAGTGAGTGTAAAAAATACGTTAATGTCAGTAAATTAAAAATGCTTCCAAACTAGGCATATTTGCTATTAACTGAATAAAGAAAAAAAATGTAGATCTCCACCCCTGTTTCACTTTATCTTCAGCAATTTTTCCTAGAGGTCACATCTAAGTATATAAAATGTAAGAATAGATTAGTTCAATAACTTGTAGGTTTATATGTATCTATTCACATGGCACATTCTCTTTAGGGACAAACTGTCAAAATATTTTTATAACCTACTGTAATAAAATTCTGAATTTCTCTCTCTCCTACTCTTCACCAATCTACTACTTTTAATTCCAATGTACTATATAAATAAAGCAGAATGACCCAGTACAACTAAGTAAGAAGAGTTGGTTCTTTTCAATTTGTATGTGTGCTTGGGAGAAACTAGCTCATATTTGTAATATGGGCTCTTCAACTACCAGACCTACTGCCTCTAAACCTTCCACATCATAAATAACATGTTCACCATCCCTCACACTCACTGGGCTTACCTACACCTGTCCAGTTTCATCCCTGGTTCTTCCCAAGCCTTCCCCTGCATTGTGCTTCCTGTGCTGAGGAAGGAATGTTTATCCCACGGGGGAAGTTTTCCTTTGGGTCATCAACTTAAAAAACCTGACCCAGGATTCCCCAAGCAGTATCATGCTTTCTACAATTCTCTTTCATGCAGTCTGCTTTCTTACTCTCAAGAAATGGCTGGAAGGTAAGTGAGTAAAGAAGTTTATTAAAGCTAACTGCCTTTCCAACCCCCAGCTCTGATGTTAGACCCTTATATACCATCCTTTCTCTGGTTCTCACTCATCATTCAGCACTGAACCGTCATCATGCTGACCACAGTCTCCTAATCTGTCATTCCCTTAACAACACTATACCTGTTCTTTGACTTCACCAAAACCTAAAGTCACTGACCTCCCTTCAACACACTCACACCATTGGTTCTTTCCTGCCTTAGTGGATTCTTCTTGACCACAAGATTAGGTATTTCAATGTTGTCTTCTTGAATATCTTTGTATCCCTTTCTTTTTCACCTTCTAACCAAACTCTCAATATTTGCTTTTTGTCTATCCTTGATGCTTTGTTCAGAACCAGAGAAACACATACCAAACCATACATATTTGGATTCTGAAAGTTTTTAATTTGATCTTTATCTTTACCCAGCAATTCTTGAATTTCTTTCTGATGTACTTCTAGGCTTATTCTCACAGGTTTATTTAATCACCTTTCTTTACTGAGTCCCAACTCCACTCTTCACCCCCATTCTCACACAATATGCATTCGATAATAACTGATATGAGTCCCTTCCTGTGTTCTCATTTTCTCTAATCTCTCCTCTTTCCTAGATTTTCTGGCTGTCCTTACAAAGAACAATGCCATCTTCTCTAAAGCTAAGTCCATAACCTCATCTCAGGAGCTTATCTCCTCCCAGCACTAGAGAAATCTGCTACCCTACTGGATTAATCTGCCTTCTCTTTAGCACTGTCCATGTCTTCTTTTCAAATAGCTCTATATGTTCTGCTTTTAAATATTTAAATATCCACCTTACCTTAAAGCAATGCATTCTAAGATCTACCACCCTTCTGGTAAGCATCTTGTCTTTCTCTTTCCCTTAAGGGCCAAATGTCTTAAGTAAGTAATCAATGGTTGCTGCATCCATATCCTTGACTTTTCCTCTGAATCCTAGGAATCTGGTTTCCATCTGTACCTTTATGAAAGTTACATTTTTAAAGTTCACCAGACACCTAGGCCTTTTCTTAGATCTCATGTTTTCTGGCTTCTAATTCATAATTTCTTCTCCGTTCCTACTATTACTGTTCTAATCCAGGCCATCTTATTTCTACCGCCCAGCAATATACATACTGAAAACTGTTTTCTAAGTAGTCCTAATTTCAAGCAAACACACCACCAAATTAATCTTTTTAAAATGCTACAATCAAGTTACATCTTCAGCAAAGAACCTAGAGTTCTCTATCACTGACCACATCCATTATCAAGACTAAACTATCCTTCCCTGTTTTTAAGGCTTTTGCACACTAATTCCACCTTTCTGTATGACCTGTATACTCCACCTTTCTGTATGACCTATATACCTCAAACGAGTCCATCTTCTTACTGTCCTTCTCTCCTAATCACTAGAGACCACTGCAATCTCTGTCTCTGGTTCTTTGTTCAGTCTGTTCCCTTTATTGTATTTCCCCCTTGTACCATTTAAATTTCAGCCATCCTTCCAAAAAGCCCCAGACTTTATGAAGCCTCTCCCTGACCCAGCTTACATTAGCTTTCTTAATTCCCATTTTCACTTTTTTATCAGCATAGTGTTTGATTAGTTCGCTAAACATTTCATGTGTAAATACCTGCATATATTACTGCCATTTACTCGGCACAAGGAGACAATACAGTAGGTACTCATTCAGATAAAAAAGGTTGAGAGGAGAAAGATATAGCACTAAGGGCAGAAAGACTAGCTTGACACTGGATAACTGACCTTTGGTCCATATTTTATAGAAGAAGACATATATATCATTGTTTTGGGTTATCACCTCTTTATAAGATAATCTTTTAAAAATGTTATTGTGTTTTTAATTGTATGATATCCATCTCTTAAAGCCAATTAAGCAAATTTGGGAAAACTTCAAGATCAAATAAACAAAAATCTAAAACCTTATAACTCAACAGGATAAAACATCCCCCAGTTCTTAATGTATGCACAAATAATACAATGGTTGTCATTTTGTAAGATTTCTATGCACCTGCAATTCATTCCTTTTTCTTGGCTTTCTGAAGCAATGCCTCTGTGGGAGTAGCTCCCTTACGGACCTGTGTCACAGCAGAAGCTCTGGCAATCCCGAAGGTGCTTGGAACACCGTACAAATAGGAGCAATGTCAGTAAAAAATGTGCACAGACAATGCAATCAAGTGTTTTCTTGGAAAGAACACATATACAGAAAGCTCTATTTAACACCCAGAACACTAAGAGAGACATGAGCATACACACGCGACTAAGATACTTAAGTCAGAATCGTGAATGTATGTTTTCCCTATTAAGATTTTTTTTCACTCCCTCCAAATTATCATATATTTCAAAATTTCGGGTATTAATATTTAATACCCTATGTTAGCGCCACTGTCAGAGCGATGAATAATAAAATGAGTCTAGACCACTATGGAGGTACTTGTTAAAATATATTAAGTGCTGACCCTACAGAAACAATTTGAAATAAAACTGTCATGAGACTGTTATCCTTGATGATAGGATCTATGCTTTATTCAACCCTCAAGACCTAACTAAAGGTCACTATACAGAATAGGCACTCAAATATTTGGCTAATATTTTGTTGTAATAAGGGGAGAGTATATAAAAGCACCACCTGGAAAAACAAAATGTGACAGTAGAATGAAAAGGAAAATACTATTAACCAGAAAATATTTTCTAATGGAATCTTTAAGAAAATAAAAAGAGGCACTTGACATTCATCAGGTCTCTATTTCCTACAGTGGCACTAAAGCCATTTCAGGGTAGCAGTTCTTAACTTCTCTTCCAGGGGTGGGAGGTGGAGTGGGGTGTCACCAAGCCCTTCATAAATTTAATAACTATTGGTTTTCTCCCCAGAAAAAAGCAGACAGCTATACATACCTACAAACTCGTAACTTCGCTAGTACATCCAAAGGGTTCTGAACTCTGGCATTTACAATTAGGATGTAAAAGCATAAAAAGCTTCCCTTGTGCATGACACATTAATCATGCAGGAATTTAACAAAAACTAATCTGAAGCTTTTTAGGATTTTTCATTCTTTACCATCATTAGGCTTCACCAACTTACTTGCTATGTGAAGCAGTACTTTCTTTTATGTGTTGTGTAATTTCTTCTGTGCTTTAATATAATTAATTACCACTATGATTTCAAGACTTCACTTTTTAAAAAAACCACTCTATATGAAATATTAGGTAAGCAAAACGGTGAGGCTTATTATTCTAGGCTCAAAATTACGAAGTTAAAGGATAATCTTTAGCTTTTCAATGTGAAAATAATTAAGTTGAAGCCTAAGTGCCCAAGACGCATTTTCCTGATGTATGGTGTGTGTCAAAAGTGTGAAGGATGGAGAAGCAGGCAGGGAGAGAGTTTTGGATTCTAGCAAGTCTAGACAAACTACCTGACAGTTTTTTTGGCCTTGGCTAGGAAGGAGAAAGGAGACAGAAAGCAACCACAGGAAAGAAGCCTTGTATAACAGGTGTATCTCTCTCTCAACACAGAGAAGTAAAGTAAATGGGAGGAACCATTTGTCTTGGTAAAAAGATCCAGGTGATGAAAGGCTTGCACTGATGGCTGGAGAAAGCTATGTACTAGTAAGCTTCATTACGGGAAGCCCAAAGCCTAGGAACCTTAGCACCACAGGAGACATTAAGTGGATGTCTTAGCCTCTTACAGCAAAAATGTAACCATAATTAACCTATGATAAAAGGTTTCTGTCTAATAAGTCTACAGTATTTTACTTGTATTTTCTAAATTTCTTGTAATGCTGCCCTACAGTCACTTTTGAATAGAAATTAGAGATTGTCACTTATGCAGAATCTTACAAAAATAATTTAAATGGCTAGTTAGCTGTTTCTACACACCTCAGTTAACCAAATCAAAGGGTATCTAAGAATAGATTTTAGTTTACCCACTATACCTGAGGACAAAGCCATTTCATTTGCTGTATTATAGCTAACAGATAATAACCAGACTTCATATAGAGAGGTAACCTCGAAAACTCCAACATGATACTAAGTAACACTAATAATGTGTTTTTAAATAATTATTATTTTTAAATCCTTAGGCTTTCTTTCTTGGTATTCACGTTACTCTTTTAATATTTTTAACAAATAAAGGCATATCTTTTATCACAATTGTTTCTTGAAAACGTAAAGAGAAGAGCTGACTTTCCCCGTTCTTCCCAGATGCTTAATTTAGGCAGAATATGGTCATGTTTTCTCAGTCAGCTTTTGTCCACTGCTCAGAATTGAATTCAGTTTTTTTTTCTTTCATTATCAGCTTTAAAACTGTTTCAAAAAATTGTGTATTATCCAAAAACATCACTTCATATTATGTCCTAATAAAGTACTTCACTATCCTCTGTGATCAAAATTATCTACGACATCTTACATGGCCTAATTTTAGAGGATCCCCAATCTCTTCTCCTCCACCTTAGTCTCATTCTGGCCAGGTACTTGTAATATAGCTTTATTATCACATTTCATTATTAAACAACGAAGTTTCCAAACAGATATCTCACAGAACTACTGTTTGTTCAATAAAAATGTTACACTACTATGGTTGCTTCTCACATACAATGTTTACCCCATATTCAAGTTTCTGATGAATCAACTGTAAGTTGAAATTCTGTTTCTGAGGCATTTCCTGGTATACTAGGCAGTGCATTAGAAAAGAGATATTGCATTTAGTCTATAATAATTAACCTTCTATATATAATTAACAACCATTCAAAAAGAAAAGTGCAAATGTGCAAATGAGAGACAACAAAAACAGTTTCTAAACATGTAATGCATTAATATAGGCTATAAATCCATACAACTAAAAATAATTGCTGACAACATCCTTCTGAGCATTAAACAACACCACCAATTTTGTTTTATATGTTTTCTTTCTTCTCAAGTATTCAAAGAAATGCAATAGACATTATCTTAGTTTTCAATTTTTTCATGAGTATATTAGGATATTACCATTTTTTTTTCACAAATCAGAAAACAAGGAACTACCATTATCTTTGCATAATTTCAATTATAGAGCCAAAATAAGAACAATTCTAGCTAATCTCATCTGGGATCTTAATTAATACTACAAGTTTATTTGTGTGAGTTAAAAATAGTATCACTCATGAGAAACAATGCCAAAATTATTATGCTAATAAATCGTGTTAAAGGCCTAATGAAGAAATACTTTAGCAACTATGAGGTAACACACTAGTTGTAGGCATGAGGAACGTTTATATTGGCTCTTTTGGGTGTATACATTAAATGCGAAATCAGAAAGGAATCATGCAAAAATCCGGTTGCCCATGCAAGCACCCCAGAGTCTAATCCTCTCCTCTCAGTTCTGTTGTCAGGCCACAGTAGTGTGGAGACTTGTAGGCTGCTGTCCTTGTTGTAATGAATGGGAAGAGGCTGACAGTGGCATGGTCGAAACCTTCACCTCTTCTTCCCCTGTGGAAAAGTCAGTCATGGTCTAGTTATGGGTGACTAGATTTGTTAACAGTCCCTTTAAAAATGATTTCAATATTTGGAATACTGATACATATATAAAATACATGCTTAATGGCTGGAATCTGGGTGTGAAACAAGACATGAATTTTAAAATATAAACTTATCAAGTACCTAGAAAGTAGTTACACTATAAACACACCCTTCAATTTAATACTATGTCAGATATAAGAACAAATATAATAGATTTAGGATTATAAATAGACAAAAAGGAAAAAAAAAAAAAAGACCAGGAAAGCCATTCTTTTCCAAGCCAATTGGACCCCTTTTAAATTCAGATACTCCTCCTAACAGTATTTTGTGAAAAAAATTAAAAAGTTCACAGATGTGAAAACATGTTTTTAAAAGGAAAAATGACAAATCCATGTTTTAGAGGTAGAAATTATGTTTATAAAAAATAAACAAAAAGATATAAATATTAATTCAGCAAATTATCATATAGCATCTGAAAATTCACTGTGTACTTCTGAAGGAATTAGAAAAGAACAAAATGCTAACAATACAACGATCCAATTGACTGAAAGCGAGATGACTACTTCTAGGTCAGAGAACTATACACAAAATGAGATCAGTTCTCCTAATTATAATTGATAATTACTGGACTGCAAGTGACTTGTTTCACACATGACTCAAAATCCAATCAAGTCACTGTTAAAATAGCTAATTCAGTAATAAAATTTAAAGAAAAATGTCCTCTCACAAGTAAAATTTGAATAAACAAAAACATGAAAAAAATCCAATCCTAAACAGTTTCAAGTATTTCTCTAAGTATATCTTAAAACAACAATGCTTACAGACTGAGACTTACTATTTTTTGTTTTCCAAACAATTTTTAGCATTATGGAATAAAAACATCTTAGCAGAGAGTTCTTTGAAAAACAAATCTGCAAAATTACATTTGGAAATACTTAAATGACAAATTTAACTGACAACATGAAGAAAGACTCAGCCTTTAGAACAGGTTATTTCATAATTTTTCAGTAAATTGGCCAAGATTCTATAAACTCCAAGTACACAGCAAGGAGGCTGTGTAGAGGAAATCTTACAGTTCTTGGTGAGAACATGGTACTAATAAGGACCACACAAGAGATTAAATTTTATCAAGTTGATAAACTTCATTCTATTTTGTAGCTATAGGCCATATCCCTGAGCTTGGCCAATTGTCTCATTAATAGATACTGTTGATAAAAAGGGACCTGCAAGTGTGTGAGAGCAACAATCAATTACTATGGGAAGAAAGCCAAGTTAAAGCACATGCCAGTGATCTTCATTTGTGAAGGTGAACATCAATGTTGTAGTGGAAAAACATTTCAGTTTGAATGTGGGATCTGGGTACTTGTCCTAATTCTACTACTAATTGAATGTTTGACCTTTAACAAATTATTTAACCTTTCTGGAACACAGCTTTGCTTTTTCTAAAAGAAGGAGTTGAACAAGGTAAGTCACCTTTTAGGAAAAGTCACTTCTTAAACAAAAGCACATGGTTCCAATAGCAAAAGAGATCTGAATGGACCTACTATAACTGTCCACTAATCAAAGTTTTTCCCCAAGAATATTTATTTCAAAAATCCTTCTAGGCTTAGCAAACTGGATGTGCAGGCAAGAAAATGCTGCTAAAAAGATTTTACCTAATTAAGAAAATAATGAATTTTAAACAGCAAAAAAAAAGTTTTCATGTAGGCATAAGAAATGGAAGCTGCATTTCTGTCAAACCCCTGGCAAACTGTCCTTCCCATGATAGGTTTCAGATATATCAATTTTTAATAATTTAACTGAAACAAACCAAAACTAAAAATTTAAATACAAATATATAATAAATATAGACATGGTATCTGTAGGATATATAGGTGACTGATACCTGAGTATTTGCTCCTAAAGGTCAGGGACCCTGTTTTGCTCTACATATCTAAAGAATAAATTAATAATACATGCCTTTTCCAGTGTTGAATACTGTCTAAACATATCTTAAAGTGGCAGGTATCAGAGAAACAGTAGGTACTCTCCATTATGAAGACTTCACCAACAGCTACCCTGGTAAGATACCATGATATTCACTGCAGGATACAAAGTTGAACCTATTTCAATAGTTCAACTCAAGTACAACTGATTTACAACTAGGGGTGGGGGAGGCAGATATTGCCTAGGTATTAAATTGCTTCAAATTAGACACAGTTAAAATGTACATCGTTTTCCAGAATTCCACTTTCTGTCATTTCTAATTGTTACTGAAAATCCTAAATGATCTGGCTATAATTATACAACTATTCTGTTTTGAGGTCTAGCACATTCATCTTCCTGAGATATTTGCCAAATATTTATAGGACATGAGAGTATTCTGTGTAACTCTTAATAACAATTTTAAATATTTTTTTCATTAAAACTAAAATTTCTCTTGTCATCAGAGACTTAAAAATAATCTAATAATAAGCTTAATCATAAGTCACCATTTAAATACCAAACAAGTATGCATAGTCAAAAACTGAAAATCTGAAATAACAAACTCTCCCAACCTCCCACAAAATACAACAATGATTCAGAACCTACAAGTTGGTGACTTCATTCTTAGAATTTCTGGGAAAAAAAAGTATTTTATGCTCTATGGTTGAGTATATGTTAAAAAGAAAACCCACAAAGATAAGACCATACTTTAATGCCACATTTTTTTCAGAAAGTATCTAGTTTAGATGAAGATTTCAAATGACTAACATGAGGACAACTACACTCACAAATCAGTAATTATTCATTACCACTGTGGCATTTTCACAATATATACTGGCTTGAAATATATGGGTTAAAATTATTCCTTTTGTGCTAATGGACAATATGGTAACTGTGAAATCAGAAGAACAGATAACTTACTGAAGATAGTCACGTAATAAGTCAAATAAAAGCATACAATGAAGACAAGCTAAGAACTGGAATCCCACAAAGGCACCCTTCTTCCTATCATATCAACTCCACACTGTGTTGCCTCACTGTCAGAGCTCCCCATGTTCTTGTCCATTCTATTTACACAATACATAAGCACCTCCCATTACTGAAGGCAGTTCTATTGCCTCTTAATGAAATGACATACTAATCCTGCCTCCACGCCTTTATTCAGGAGTTCCCATCAGTATAAAAGGTCTTTCTCTTTTTCCCACTAACCCAATTCCAAGATACCATAGTACAGATCAATTCCTATTTCTTCAGTGAAGCCTCCCCAACAATTATAGGCTCAAATGAGATCTCTCAGATTCCAGTTATCATATAGTTACCACTCTCATACATAATATTAAATTTATTTCTTCAACTACACTGCAAAATACCTGGAAATAATATCCATATTTTAGAGTTCTTTTACATTACCCACATGGCCTAGTTCATTACTGGGCAAACAGGAACCCAAATATTCACTATAACTGGTTTAATATTTTACTTTTAAATGTTTAGGATATTTAGGGAAACTTAACTTTAACTCTTAATGTTATAATCAGTTATAAGATACACTACTAGTCATTAAAATGCCACATTTCTAAATGATTAAAGCAAAACAAAACAAAATTACACTCTAATATGCTGTCTTGAATGGAAGAAAAAAACGCAGTATCAGGAACTGAGTACTTAAGTGTTTCACAAGTGAGTATCACGTAGAAGGAGAAGATTGAAAAATGTCACTCTGAATTACCTACTAACTACCATAATCAAATGAACGAATATCATGAGTCCCACTGATATACAAACCAATACATTGGTGTATCATGCTTATGTAAATTAACTTCACTGTATCAACTGTTAAATTCACTATATCCAAAGTCACAAACCATATTCTCTTAACCCATCTACTTGTCTTGAAAATGAAATGGCCAAAGAGCCAAAGAAGTCTGATGGATCTCTTCAAATTCACCTATCAACCTGGCTAAAAACAAGAGAACAAACGACTTGCTGGTAACAGCACATTATTACAGTAAGACTGTGCCATGCCATATCTTAAAGGCCATGACAAGGGATAACAATAAATTTTACGAATTATGTAACACAGTGAGGGACTATTCTATCCTACTTGAGAGAATCAGGAGAGGAACAAACTCTCTCTTTTACCAGTCATCTCTAAAGCCCAAATTAATTAAAAAAAAAAAAAAAAAACCACTAATAAGAAGGATTCCTTTAGATATAGAAGTCACTTGACCTAATAAATGTTATATAGGACCTTAAAACCCCAAAGTTCTGAAACCTTCAAGGGTAGCAGTACAAAACCAGAAGTATTCTGGTATCACTTATGAGGAACCTAGTATTTTCCCCAGAAATAAAAACATGACAGACCAAAAGGGAAAGTATCTCTCCTTGAACAACTGTTTTCACAGAAAGTATACACATAGGTCTGTGAAACATTAATAATCAGAGTTCTCAAATATTAAGTACTTTATTAACATAGAGCACAGTTTGTGTGTGTGTTTGCACGTGTGTATCAGTCAAAATAAGTAACTGCCAAAAGTAGTTAGAGAGTGGCTTCATCCCTCATGCTCTCACTAAATACCATTTCAAAAATTTTTTTTGAATCAGTTTACTTTTAGAATGTATAATCGGAATTTGTACCATGGTGTTGGACTTTCCAGCACCATAATTTCAGAGCACATTTTTTTCTTTTTTTTGTGCATTTATATTCCACATGAAAGTTTGGTAACTACCCTGTTAAATAAAATGCTTCCAAGTTATAACTAGGTATAATACTCCACCATCCTTATAAAGCTCAATATTACAAGGCATCCATCCAATTAAAAATTTTTAAATTATGATAAGGACTTTTTTTTCCCCATAGAAATTTCCAAGAATAATAAGTATTCTCTGTTATTCAAAAATTCCCACCCTACCCACCCAACAACTTGAAGGCATGAGTTATTCACAAATTCTCAAAGGCTATAAATGAACCTACCTGCTATAGGGATCCCTCCCAGACCTGTGTTGTGCTGTGGCGGGAGATTCAAGTCCAAGAAATTACTATTTGAGGTGGGGTTTGCTGTGTGGTTCAAGTGCATGATGCTATTGCGTGGAAAGGCCATCCAAGGATAGCGGGCTGCCTGGCCTGGAAAACTGAATGAATTATAAACTGCTCGGTGCTGCTGAAATTGAGGGAACCTCTGTGGCAAGACTGAAAAGGTACTATTGAGAGAGTTGGCATTTGTCGGTGCAGCAGGATGCAGGAATCCAGAGCCCGGACCTTTGGCCATTGTAGTGTGTGAAGAGGAGTTCTGAAGAGATGTGGGCGAAAGGGAAGGCTGGTCTTGGACTGACAGTTCCTTTTCAATCAGGTCTGCTAAGGCTTTTCGAGTGACATCAAAGGGATCAAAACCCAAGTCATCCTCTGGTTGTTTAGAAGAACCAAAGCCAAATGCTGCTTGCCAGTCTGTAGAGGATGATACTGGGATTGTTTCTGTTGGGAAGACAATTAGTGATAAATTTAAAATACATAGCTCACTTATGTATTTAACAAGTATCCACACTAGTGAAAGTTAAACATCATAAGATAAAGGCAAATATATCCAAAATCTGTATGATTTCTTAGCACATTAAGATTATAGTATTATAAAAGGTCTCATATACTTCTACCAATGATTTCATCTTAAGTTACCAACTTCAAAAACTGAATGATATAGACTGATTTTGGTAATCAAAGAAAACAAAGTACTTGAAACCCAAATTACACCTTTAGCTATTCATAACCAAAACCTGGAGAAAGTCATTTCAATGAAATAAGGTAATAAATATGATGTAACAGAATTCACTTAGTAAAGTTTATTTTTTTTAAATTTTTATTTTATTATGTTATGTTAATCACCATACATTACATGATTAGTTTTTGATGTAGTGTTCCATGATTCATTGTTTGCGTATAACACCCAGTGCTCCATTCAATACGTGCCCTCTTCAATACCCATTACCAGGCTAACCCATCCCCCCACCCCCCTCCCCTCTAGAGCCCTCAGTTTGTTTCTCAGAGTCCATAGTCTCTCATGGTTCGTCTCCACCTCCGATTTCCCCCCTTCATTTTTCCCTTCCTACTATCTTCTTTTTTGTTTTTTTAACATATATTATTTGTTTCAGAGGTTTATTTTTTAAAATATATTTATCAGAGACAAAGTGTAAGTAATTTTGAATATATGCTTTATATAATCTAGGAAAAAATAATGTAACAATGAAAAAATATCTACTTAAACTTTATGTATTTTTTAAAACTGTCTGCTCCGATAATAGGTACTATATTTTCAATATTAATTTTATGCCATCCTTCACATTAATAAGAAAACTTACAATGAATAAAAATGAAAATGGCTCAAAATGCCAAAATATAACTTTCAATATTAACTAACACACCTCTTGTCAGCTGGAGAAAAAAAAAATCTTAAATTTAACTATATAAACACAAATACGATTAAAAACGTAAGCCCTTAAAAATTCTTAGAGGAATAAGCATTTTATTACCAGAAAAATTATCTAACCCTTGATTTCTGGAGAAATCTGTTAACACATTAAGTCCTAAGTCATACAGCTACTTATCTAACCATCCTACTCCATGCCCTTTAAATGTTTACAATTTTATGAAAAAAGGAGTGGCGGTGCTTAAAGGGGTAAAAACACATTAAGCAAGGTCTCATTTCAGCCTGAGTAACATTATTAACATGCAGTAGTATTGTTGTATACCTGATGTGAAGAGACTCTGTGGCTCTGGTGCTGTAGGCCAGTCACTGGATGTCTGTGGGGAGCTGGGGAAAGGAGGAAGCCCACTTGGGATCGGGTTGGGATGGCGAAAGTTATCTGAGAATAACGACTGTGACTCAGTTACTGCCCCTTCAAAAGGAGACCGTGCACTGTGATTGGATGAACTGATGGGGATGACTGGATTGGATTTTGATAAACCAGGTGGTGGTGAAGGCGTATCACTGTTAGATATCTAAATAAAATAGGAAAAGAAAAGAATAATCAATAGATGTTTATACACTTTAATAAGCTGCCATCAGAAAGGCTTGTAACAAAAGGCATTACAACAGTGGTCTTCAAACTGGGGTGCTTAAACACTTCTTTATGAGAACATGAATTTTTAAAAAATCCATCAATTACATATGTACTCTTTTCTAAAACTGATTCCTTCTTGAAAAGACTAAGCCAGTCTCCTCTCCTTTCAGAACCTATCTTCTCTCACTTTACAAACTATTGCTCACTCTTTAGGATCTAACTATAGTAATTTGACCAAGAGTGAAAATTTTATGAGAGCAACAAAAATATTATTAGTAATATTCAGACTGGGGGCACCTGGGTGGCTCAGTTAGCTAAGCGGCTGCCTTCGGCTCAGGTCATGATCTCAGGGTCCTGAGATCGAGCCCCGAGTCGGGCTCCCTGCTCAGTGGGGAGTCTGCTTCTCCCTCTCCCTCTGCTGCTTATCTGTTTATGCTCTCTCACTCACACTCTTTCTCCAGTAAATAATAAAATCTTAAAAAAAAAAAATATTCAGGTTGGTGTTGAGAGTGACTAATGACTAGACTGTTTTGCAAACTAGGTGATTCCCAATACTTAAGTTTTTTTGGTTTTTTTTTTTAAGATTTTATTTATTTGTCAGGGGGAGAGAGAGAGTACAAGCAGGGGAAACAGCAGGCAGAGGGAGAAGCAGGTTCCCCACCGAGCAGGGAGCCCGACTCAGGGCTCGATCCCAGGACCCCGGAATTATGACCTGAGCCAAAGGCAGACGCTCAACCGACTGAGCCATCCAGGCCCCAATACTTAAGATTTAAACAAAATGGAAAGAATATCTAATCACGTTATTTCTAAACACATCATTAAAAATAACTTTTGTAATAAATCTTTATGATTCTTAGGTATTTAACTCAGAAAGTTCAAAAATTTGATACTGAGATAATACTCTTTCTTCCATCCTCAGCACTGACATTTTCAAAAACGAAAACATGACTAACATTGCTGTTGAAACTTGTCTCCTTGTACCAACAGGTAATATTCATCCATGAATACATGAAAACCAATTTTATTTATTTATATATATATTTTAAGATTTTACTTATTTATTTTAGAGAGAGAGCACACACACTTGTGCATGAGTAGGATGGGGCAGAGGGAGAAGGAGAAGCAGACTTCCTGCTGAGCAGGGAGCCTGACACGGGCCTCAATCCCAGGACTCTGGGATCATGACCTGAGCTGAAGGCAGGTGCTTAACCAACTGAGCCACCTAGGTGCCCCATGAAAACCAATTTTAAAATAGCCCTATCCATATTTCATTAAGAAATAAATTTCTAATATAGTTTTAGAGTTTGTGTTTAGTAACTAATTTTTATCAAAATCTGTATTTATGTACGTTGCTTTGATCAAATCAAAACTATGAATAAAAATTCAGAAGAAAGAAAGTTGGGGGACGCCTGGGTGGGGCAGTCAGTTAAGCTCTGACTCTTGGTTTGGGCTCAGGTCATGATCTCAGGGTCCTGAGATTGAGCCCCACAATGGGCTCTACACTCAGGGGGGGGTCTGCTTAAGTTTCTCTCTCTCTCTCAAGTAAGTAAATAAATCTTTAAAAAATTTTTTAAAAAGAAAGAAAATTGGCATTTAAAACCTTCTGTCAGAAAAAAGTAGTTTCCAATTGAAAATTCCCATCTATTTTTGAGAGAGGTATATGCCTGTCAAGAATAAACTATATTATATTAAGATAAAATTCTGTAACAGCAGAAGTAGAAGAATGAGGTCAAGAAGAACAGAGAATGATATAAAATTTGATTGTTTACAAAAAAGTGTGTATTTTTTTAAAATGAATGACAGAGCAACAAAATATTCTGATATTTGAATCTCTTAGATACTTATTAAAAAGCAATGTAGTGCTTTTATTTAAAAATACCAATATTTATAATATCCTGAAAATTATATCCTTTACAATGATTCTTCAGTTAATATGAAAAATATCTTTAATGTTAACCTAAAACATACAAAGGATATATTGATTTTCAAATTCTTTTATGGAACCTGAGTAAAAATTCTGGAAAAGCAGTCTTTTTTAGATCTCTAAGTTTCTCACAAACATTGTGGGGAACTGGCCATTCTTTATGGAACAGATTAGAACTATATTTTTCTGTACCAATATAAGAAGGTATACAGAAACTTATGCAGTGAAAAACTAGCACCTAGACAAGATGATACAAAGCAGTATACAAAGATCAGAACCTCACTCAGTATCAATGTGGATACAACTTTGAACTATTCGGTTTATTATTTCAAAGCCCACAGGCGTTTGGGGGAAAGGGAAAACTGTTGGGGGCAAGAACACTGTGAGAAACAGAAAATTAAAGCTGACAACAAGCAACAAGGGGAGCACATAGCAGAGAAACAACTCTTAAAATCAAGAATGAAGAAGGCATGCTAGTCTGAGACCATTTTGGAGTAGGGTCAAAAAGACCAATAGTATCAGTAGATTCTTAGGACACTAATATATTGCCACACAGTACAACATAACATGTGGTCATAAGGATAATTCGGAGTCATCAAGAAAGGGTTAAATTGTACTCTAACACAGAATATTCTGTGGAAGAAAGGAAGACAAGTATAATAGATTTTAAAAAGATATCCACTAACAGTATTTTTACTTTTTTATTTATTTATTTATTTATTTGAGACAGAGAGAATGAGAGAGAGAGAGCACATGAGAGGAGGGAGGGTCAGAGGGAGAAGCAGGCTCCTTGCTGAGCAGGGAGCCCGATGCGGGACTCGATCCAGGCACTCCAGGATCATGACCTGAGCCGAAGGCAGTCGCTTAACCAACTGAGCCACCCAGGCGCCCCACTAACATATTTTTAAATTGTTTCCGTATTTAAAGTATTTTCCACTACCCAGAAAATTCACTTGGATAGAATGCCATTTCAGGGAATGGAAGATGAATGAAGCGATACAGAATCAAAATCTTACCTGCTGGGAATTATCACCATTCCCTATACTGAGAGAATCTGAAGGTTTGTCAATGGGGCTGTAAAAAGAAAAAACACACCAAGTAAAATCAGAGTAAAGTCATTCTCACACAATAAAAACAAACTCCCCAAAGCCAGAAAAATAGACATTTTATTATCTTAACATTTGTTGGTACACTATGATATAAAGATATCAGCTGAGATGTTGAGGATACAAAGAAATATAAGATCAAATCCCTACCCTTGAGCAACTTACATTCTAATTAGATTCTCCAAAAACAATGGGTGAAATAATAACTTATGAAAAAAAAAGGTACTGCTTAATATGAGTATTATTGTAGTAGGTCAAAAATTTAATCCATTATTCAGTTTTGTGCACACGATAAACACATTCCCCATTAAAATTCTTGACATAATACTCACCTATTTTTCCAGGTGTTTAACAGAGGGCATAAAAGTCACTCAAATGTTCTCCACAGGTTCTTAAGAGCAATACATTTCCTTTACTGCTTCAATAGCCTACTTACAACCCTAGAGAAGGCATACGTGTGTGTATAAATGCACACACACAAAACAGAAACTTCTGTGTAAACTATTTACTATTAAACAAAGACATAACACTTGATTTCCATATAGGGAAAATGCAGTACAATAGTAAAGTAACAAAGAATTGCTGACTTAACAACAAAATGAAATCTTTACAAGCATTACAACAGTGACCTAGCGAGGCATTTTCATAACTACCTGTATTTAACCTAGCACATGAATAAAAGATCAGGATCAGTACCCAAATACTAATATGATATAGTATTACAGCAAAACAAATTAAGATTCCAAATTTCGCAAAAATTATTTTATTGGCTGTAAATATATACAAAGTTACCCTGACAGCCAGACAACTTTACTGGTACCACATTTAATTGCTCTAGAAAAATTTAACAAGGGCTAGGACCCAATCAGAATATCCAGTGTATCTTCTGCATAAACATCACCAGATGCTCGTGACTCCTGAAAAATAGGTCTGGAATTCACTAAACAGCACCTTTAGTTATTATTTTCACAAAATAGCAATAAATCAATTCATTTTATGGTCAAATGGGTATTACAAATAATTTTAAGATACAGCTTAGAGCCCACTAAGTTTGGAGACATTTGAGGAAATGAGATAGGTAAACACAAACAAACATCAACCAGTGCCAATTACTAAATGAATTGTTTAAACCATAAATATCATAGGTCTTTAAAAGAAAGAGAAGCCACCATAAGTGGGGCAATCAAGAAGTATTTCCTAGGGGAGTTCAAATTTATGTAGGTCCTTAAAAAGATTTACACATTAGGAGAGGAAAGAACATTAAAGGTAGGAATACCAAGTGTATCACACATCAAAAGGTCATAGATGGGTTTGGGAAAAAGTTAAGTAATCAGTTTAGCTAACACAGAGGATGATTTTGACAACAGTGGGAGGTATGGACAAATGGTAGACACCAGAGGCCAAGAGAAATTGTTGAGCACAGAAACAATATAAACAAAGCAGTATTAGAAAGATGGTATGAGAGGAACTTGTAACATTTTCTAAAAAACTTTTTTATTGTGGTAAAGCAGATTTCATATAAAATCTACTGGCTTAACTATTTGTAAGTGTACAGTTCAGTGGTATTAAATACATCCCACCTTGTTGTACAACCATCACCACCATCTATCCCCATCTCTTTTCGTCTTATAAAACTGAAATTCTATACCACTAAACTCCCCATTTTCTCCTCCCTCCCAGTCATTATAATTTTGACTACATACCTCACATATGCGGCATCAGAGTATTTTCCTTTCCTTTTCTAAGCAGAATAATATTCCTTTGTATTTATACCACATTTTGCTTGTCCGTGCATCTGGCCACGGACACTTGGACTGCTTCCATGTTTAAACTACTGTGCGCTAAGACGTAAGTGCACACATATCTCTTCAAGGTACTGCTTTCAATTCTTTTTGCTGTATACCCAGAAGTGGAATTGATGGATCATATGGTAATTCTATTTTTAATTTTTGAGGAACTACCATACTGTTTTCCACAGTGGCTGTACCATTTTCTATGCCCACCCATAGAGCATAAGGGTTCCAATTTTTCCACATCCCTTCCAACTCTTTTCTGCTTCTTTTTTTACTGTTTTATTTTTTCCTCTCTTTTTTTAATGTTTCAAGTTTTTATTTACATTCTACTTAGTTAACACATAGTGTAATATTAGTTCCAGGAGAATTTAGTGATTCTGTTTTCTGCTTTTTTCATAGTAGCCACACTAATGCGTGTAAGGAGATTATCTCATTGTAGTTTTGATTTGCATTTCCCTAATGATTAGTGATGTTCAGCATCTTTTCATGTGCTCAATAACCATCTATCCTCTTTGCAGAAATATCTATTCAAGTCCTTTGCCTATTTTTGAATTAGGGTATTTGATTTTGTTGTTGAGTTTTAAGAGTTCTCTATATTATTATGGTTATTAAACCTTTCTCAGATATGATTCGCAAGTATTTTCTCCCATTCTGTGGGCTGCCTTTTTACTATAGACAGTGTCTTCTTAGTCACAAAATTTTAAAATTTCCATTAAGCTCCATCTATTTTTTCTTTTGTTACCTGTGCCTTTGGTGTCCTATCCAAGAAATCATTGCCAAATCCAATGTTGTAAAGCTTTAGTCATGTGTTTTCTTTTAATGGTTTTGTTGTGTGAAAGAACTTCAATCTAAAACAGAACTGGAGAATACAAGAGGGAGAATCTCACATATGTGCCCCCAGGAAGGTAAATTTAAGGACTAAAAGACTGAGTCCTCTGAAATGTCTGATTTACAGAAAGTGGATAGTGTTGAAATTTTCTTGGGTGGGAGGATAATCAGAGGTTGTCCTATATCAACCTTGCAAAGTTCTGCCAGAGGCTTGAATGGAACATGGCTCAAATTGGATTGATCTCACATAATGGGATGACTTGAGCTTTGTTTGTGTGACAGGGAGGATTTCGTTTGCTCAGGAAAATTTTCAAGGCTGGTTTCCTGTTTTTTATTTTAACGGACTCTAACTGAACTCTCCCCTCTTTCCATTCCCTGCCCATAAATACAACCTACCAAAAATCTTCAATGGACTCGCCTGTAGCATGCTACAGTTTGTTCCAAACTGCAGTTCCTCTGCTATTCCTGAATAAACTTAACTCCCTGAGCTTGCTTAAGTTTCTCGCTTTATTTATAGTCAATAATTATTTCAGGTCTTACATTTAGGTCATTGATCCATTTTGAATTTTTGAATATGGTGTTCAGTAAGGGTCCAACTTCATTCTTTCACATGTAGATATCCAGTTTTCCCAGCACCATTTGTTGAAAAGACTTCTTTCCCCCACAGGGGAAAGGGTCTTGGTATCCTTGTTAAAAATCATTTAACCGTCTATGTGATGGTTTATTTCTGCATTCTCTTTTCCATCCTACTATGCTATATATCTGTCTCCATGCCAATCCCATGCTGTTTACGTTACTGCAGTTTTGCAGTTATGATTTGAAATTAGGAACTGTGGGCCCTCCAGTTCTATTTTTTCAAGATTATTTTGGCTATTTGGGGTCCTTTGAGATTCCATATGAATTTTAGGAGGAGTTTTTCTATCTGCGAAAAAACACAACCAAACAAAAACTATCACTGGGGCACCAGGGTAGCGTAATTGGTTAAGTGGCCAACTCTTGGTTTCAGCTCAGGTCATAACCTCAGGGTGAGATCAAGTCCCGTGTTGGGCTCCGTGTTCAGCACGGAGTCTGCCTGATATTCTCTCTCCTTCTACCCCTTCTGCTTGTTCTCCCTCTCCCTAAAATAAGTAAATCTTTAAAAAAAAAAAAATCACAGGGATTTTGATATGGAATGCAATGAAGTGTAGACAACTTTGGGTAAAAGCAACATTTTAATAATATTGTCTTCCAATCCATGAACGTGGGATGTGTTTTCATTTATTTATGTATCTTCAGTTTCTTTCAGCAATGTTTTGTATTTTCATTGTATAAGTCATTTTAACTTCCTTGCTTAGGAATTCCTGAGTATTTTATTTTTCTTGACACTATGGTGAATAGAATTTTTTGTAATTTCCTTTTCAACTATTCATTGTTCACACTTAGAAATACACTGATTTCTGTGTGTTGACTTTGTACCCTGTACTGAATTCATTTATTAGTTCTAACCATTTGTTTGTGTGTGGAATCCCTAGGATATGCTACATATTAAGACCATATTATCTATAAAAAGAGATAATATTACTTATTCTTTTTCTATTTAGATGTCTCTTCTTTTTCTTGGCTAATTGTTATGGCTTGAACATCCAATAATGTGTTGAATAGAAGTGATAAAAGTGGGCATTTGCCTTGTTCCTCATTGTAGAGGAAAAGCTTTCAGTCTTTCACCACTGAGTATGATGTTCACTGTGAGTTCTTCATATACAGCTTTTATTATGTTGAGGTAGTTTCCTTCCTACGTTAATTGTTCTTGTCATGAAAGGGTGCTGAATTTTGTCAAATGCTTTTTATGCATCAACTGAGGTATCATGTGTTTTTTATCCTACATTCTGTTGATATGACACATGAAAGTGCTCAATTTTTTAGGTTAAACCATCACTGCATTCCAGGAATATACCCCTACTTTATCATGGTTTGTAACCCTTTTAATATGCTGGATTCTGTTTGATAGCATTTTTTTGAGCATTTCTGCATCAATGTAAATAAGGGGTATCGGTCTGTGGTGTTTGTATAATGTCTTTGGCACTGGTACCAGAGTTATGCTGGCCTTATAGAATGAGTTAGGAAGTGGTCCCTCCTCCTCAACTTTTTGGAAAAGTTTGAGAAAGACTATAATTAGTTCCTCTTCAAATGTTTGGTAGAATTCACATTTTTTGTTGAAAAAAAAATTTTTTTTTTAAAGATTTTATTTATTTATTTGAGACAGAGAGAATGAGAGACAGAGAGCATGAGAGGGAGGAAGGTCAGAGGGAGAAGCAGACTCCCCTCCGAGCAGGGAGCCCGATGCGGGACTCGATCCTGGGACTCCAGGATCATGACCTGAGCTGAAGGCAGTCGCTTAACCAACTAAGCCACCCAGGCGCCCCTGTTGAAAAATTTTTGATTAGTGATTTGATAACCTTACTAATTATATATCTATTCATATTTTTAAAATTTCTTCATAATACAGTTTTGGTAGGTTTTGTGTTTCTAGGGATTTGTCCATTTCATCTAGGTTATCCAGTGTGTTGACATACAACTGTTCACAGTACTCTCTTACAATTCTTTTTATTTCTGTAGAATCTGCAGTAATGTCCCCACTTTTATTTCTGATTTTAGTAATTTAAGGCTTTTCTGTGGTTTTTCATAGTCTACATCTAACTAAAGGTTTGTCAATTTTGTTCATCTTCTCAAAGAACCAACTTTTAGTTTCATTGTTTTTCTCTACTGTTTTTCTATTTGCTATTTCATCTTTCTCTGCTTTAATCTTTACTTCCTGCTGCAAGCTTTGGGTCTAGTTTGTTCCTTTTTTTTTTTTTTTTTAATTTTTCTATTTCCTTAAGTTGTAAAGTAAGGTTGCTGACTCTGGGTCTTTGTTTTTTAATATAAGCATTTATAGCTATAAATTTCCCCCTTCACATCCCCTTAATTTCCCATAAGTTTTAATGTTTTTTCATTTTCATTCATTTCTAAGTACTTTCCAATTTCCCTTGTGATTTTTTCTTTAATCCATTAGTTGTTTAAAAGTGTTAATTTCCACAATTTTTTGAATTTTCCAGACTTCCTTTTGATAATGATTTCTAACTTTATCCCACCACGGTGAGAAGATACCCACTATGGTATCTAGATTTTTAAATTTACTGATTTGTGGCCTAACATATAATCTTATCCTGGAAAATGTTCACATAAACTTGAGAATGATGTGTATTCTGTTGTTGGGGAGAGTGTTCTGTAGGTGTCTGTCAGATTCAGCTGAGTTATGTTTAAATTCTCTTACTAGGGCACCTGGGTGGCTCAGTTGGTTAAGCGTCTGCCTTTGGCTCAGGTCATGATCCTGGAGTCCCAGGATAGAGCCCCACGTCAGGCTCCCTGCTCAGTGGGGAGTCTGCTTCTCCATCTCCCTCTGACTCTCCCTCTGCTTGTGTGCTCTCTCTCAAATAAATTAATAAAAAGTATTTAAAAAAAATAAATTCTCTCCTTACTGATCTTCTATCTGGTTATTATATCCATTATTGTGAGTGGGGTATTGAAGTCTTCACCTATTAATGTAGAACTATTTCTCCCTTCAATTCTGTGAGTTTTTGCTTCATATATTTTGATGATCTGTCATTAGGTGCATAAAGGTTTAAATGTTCTATCTTCTTGCTGAATTCATATACAATGTCCTTTGTCTCTCTTGATTTAAAGTCTATTTTGTTTGATAGTAGAATAGCCACCCCTGATCTCTTTTGTGTACTATTTTCATGGATTATCTTTTCCCATCCTTTCATTTTCAACCTGTTTGTGTCTCTGGTTCTAATATGAGTCTCTTGTAGATAGCATATAGTTGGATCATGTATTTTTATCCATTCTTCCAATCTGTCTTTTCATTAGAGTTGAACCCATTTACATGTAAAGTAATTACTGATAAGGAAGTAGTGATTATGCCCTTTATGCCATTTGTTTTCTACATGCCTTATAGCTTTCCCCCCATCAAATTCCTGCATTAGTATCTTCTGTGTTTAGCTGACATTTTTCTAGTGAAATGTTTAAATTCCTTTCTCATCTCCTTTTGTGTATATCTTAGAGTTACTTTCCTTGTTATCATGGGAATTATATTTAACTAGGATCCTAAAATTATAATACTCAAAATTTATATCAACTTGATTTCAGTAACATACAAAAACTATGTTCCTTTACAGCTCAATCCCAACCCCTTTTAGCTTTTACACTAATATATTGAACCTTAAATATACTGGTCTCTTAAATCATGTAGGAAACAAAAAGTATAGTTACAAACCATTGTTACAATCACACTAGTTTTTATATTTGCCCATTTACCTTTACTAGTGTTCTTTCATTTCACCTTGCAGGACTCCCTTGAGCAAATTTCTTGCAGGGCAGGTCTAGAGATCACCAACTCCCTCAGTTTTTGTTAATCTGGGAATGTTTTAATTTCTCCCTCACTCTTTAAGGAAAGTTTTGCTGGATAGAGAATTCTTGGTTAATAGTTTTTGTCTCTTAGCACTCTGAATATATTGGCCCACTGTCTTCTGGCCTCCAAAGTTTCTCATGAGAAATACGCTGATAATCTTATTAAAGATTCCTTCTACACGATGATTCACATCTCCTGCTGCTTTCAAGATTCTCCTTGTCTTTGGCATTTTAATAAAATTTTGATTTGACTTTGATTTTATTTTTGATTATGAAATTTTGACTTGATTTTGGTTTGATAAGTGTGTCAATGTTTGTCTGAGTTCATTTTAACTAGAGTTCCTTAAGGTTGTCCCATGTTTATATTCATTTCTTTCATTGAATTTGGGAATTTTTCAGCCTTTTTTTTTTTTTTTCCTTCAAATATTCTCTCTGCATCTCTCTCTCTTCTCCTTCTGGAACTCTGACAATACATACACTGTTCTACTTGATGGTGTCCCACAAGTCCCTTAGGCTCTGTTTGCTTTTCTTCAGTCTTTTCTCTTTGTGTTCCTCAAACTCATTATAATATTTCCATTGTCTTTTCTTCAAGTTCACAGATTCTTCTACCTAATCAAATCTGCCTTTGAATCCTCTAGTGAATTTTTCATTTAAATTACTGTATTTCTTTTTGCTTTCGTACTTTTTAAAATTGATATTTCCCTTTTGTTCATACTTTGTCTTACTTTCTCCACATCTTCTTTTAGTTCCTTAGGAATCTTTAAAAGAGTTTTTTTTAAAGTCTTTGTCTACTATATCTGCCATTGGCGTTTTTTTTCAGGGACAGTTTCTGTTGATCATTCTTTCTTTTGAATGAGCCATACTTTTCTTTTTCTTTTATATACATAACTGTGATTTTTTACTGAACACTGGCCCTTTGAGTCTAGTAACGTAGTACCTTTAGAAATCAGATTCTCCCCCTTCTCACTGTTTGCTTTTTTGCAGGCTGTCTCTGTGCGAAAGATCAGCCCTAGGTATAAATTTATTCTCAGGTCTTTTCTGAGCCTTTTTCTGGCCATGCACAAACCCTACATTTCTCCCAATATGCAGTTGTTTTTGAATTTCCTAGTCTTTAATATCTAGCACCCAAAAGGAGGAAAAGGAAAAACTGAAAGGGGAAAAGAGGGGAAGGACACTAGTCCTTTAAATCCCCTGGGTATCATTTCAGCCAGAGGGGGAGGGGCTTGGAACAATGGTTGCCTGCTTCTTTGTCTGCACCTCTGTGATCAGAAGCAGTAATCAGCAATTAGAACAAAGATCCTCAATATATGAAAGCCAGGGCCTTTTTGCCCACCCTGGCTTCTGCAAGCTAAGTGCAAGCTACTCCAGGAACATGTGCACAGCTGCCTGCCACTGGCTTGGCCTAAGAGCTGAAATTGACCAAAATTAACCCAAGTCTTTCCATGGAATTTGCAAGCCTTCAACAGATTTCAGAGTTCCAAAAATAGCTACATCAGACAGATTCTGCCAGTGCGATTGTTGTCCAGGTGGGGAGACAGATTCCTGGTGCTCCCTACTCCACCATCTTCCCCAAACTTGCGCTATTCTTACGAGAATAAAGGCTTAAAGGTGAGAGGAAACAGAAATAATGGAAACAAAAGAATGAAAGCAAGACATTACAGAGGAAGAATTGCAGTGTCTTTACCTCAGTTCAGGTTCTCAGCCACCACCATTAAAGAGCACTAAATATTAATTTTCAGTATAGGTGAGGTTAGTCTTGCTAATGTCAAGGGCAATCTATGAAAATACTGCATTCAGAATAAACCTTGATAATGTTTCTGGATTACAACTAACTTATATCATCTAGTCCCCATGCCAACTGAGGTTTCATAACTACTGATTCATAGCATTTGATGCTTTGCATAGGAAAGGTTTACCAAAGATGCTTAAAAATTTCTAGATCAGTGTCATTAAACCAAAGACAGCTGCTAAAAAAACAGGATTGGGGCAAGGTTATCAGTAAGCTTATGTTCCACTCAGTTTTAATATATTTTTCAATTTACCTTACAATTAACTATTCAAGGAATAATAAATGAAAAGCTTTAAGAATAAAGATAAAACTAAAAATTGTTTTTATTTCCTACGTAGGCTGTAAAGAGTCAAATTATAGTTAAAGCTGCCATTGTAAGTGCAACCGTATCAGTGCAAAAGAAAATACAGATGGGAGAATCCCTGCAAATGCATGTATAATCTCAACAGAAAAAAAAAATATTTACAAATTCCAATTCTAATAAATGTGAACTCCTTGGATCTCTAATGGCTGGACAGGTAACACTTACCCCAAGACTACCGCTAACAGGTCAGAGTTCTCACAACTTCCCTAGTACTGGGTGTGAACTTCCTTCCTCATCAAGCTTTGTGTCTGCTTAAGTTATAGTCATAATAAGTATTTGTTGTTTTACATTCAACATCCACCAACCCATTATCACGCCAAGAAGGTTAAGAAAGGAAAATAAACTTTAATAAATACCACATTTAATATGGAAGAAAGACACCTACTCCATGAAATGGACTATTCTCTTGTCAAGAACTGCCAAGTCCTCATAATACCAGATGAAAGAAGATTGGGTACACTAAGATAAACTGCACAGGGCTTTTTTATTTAAAAATAAGCAAACAAAAAATCTACAGTTTTCTTTTCTAGGTCAGCACAAAGTTTATTAGCCACTTCTGTTCAGAAAGGCCTCTTTCTGAACAAGTCTGTTGCTCTAACATAACCAGGAAACACCAAAATGCACAGGGGCCCCACTTTCATTTGTATCTCAAGTTACACTATAAGCATATCATAGAGCAACGGTAGTTGTCTCCTGAGGTTCCCTGGAAATGGCTCTAGAAGAGGCTCCAGCTTCAGTTCTGGTCCCAGGATTGGCTCTGGCACTCTCTGTGCCACCACGCCTAGTGTGGGCTCTAGTGCTGGCTCCAGATCCAGTCCTGCCTCAAGCAGTGGCTCTAACTCCAGGCCTAGCTCTGGCCCTTATGCCATCCTGGGCTCCAGCCCTAATGAATCCAATTCTGGCTCCAGCTTAAGCTCCAGTGGTTGTTGCAGCTCATCCACCTGTCTGCAGACAGCACAAGAAGCCTATGTTTCAGGTATTTTCTCTGTTCCTGGAGATTAACTTTCTCTTGGTGGTAGTACCCAAAAGCCTCACTCCAGGGGATTCAGGGATAGAGGCAGTACAGCATATTCTCAGGTATGTTCTCCCTCAGAAAGCAGTTGGTAGTGCTGGATGAGTCCAGTCAGCAGGAGTGACTGCAGTACCTCCCTGCTGTTGGGCGGCACAGAGTAGATCACCTTATCACTGTCCTGAGGTTCCACCCTGGAGCAGGTTATGTCCCCTTCCAATGATTTGCTGCAATGTAGCAGAAAGGCTCCAGAGATGGGTCTTCTTCAGCAGCTGGTGCTCCTGGCTCCAGCTCACAAAGCCCATGATAATGGCCATCATTCCACAGATTCCTCAGGTGGTCATGTACCAAGTCCAGATTTTTGTGCAACCATGTCTAGAATGGTAGCTTGCATGGGGTGGGGGGGCTCTCTTGCTTCGTGAAGTCAGCCCAGGACAACAATGTACCCTCAATCCTAGAGTTCTGCCCCAACAGCTTGTCCTTCAGCATGCTCAGCTGCTCCAGGTCAAGGTCTCGGCCAATACAGGAGGAGAACTGCCAACTGAGAGCAGGGCCCAGCAAGCTCCAGGAGGGCTTTGGGTGGGCCAGGGCTGGGGGGGGAGGGGGGGGTGCCTAGAAAAAAACTGCTGATTCTGAGAGCTTAAGCTGAGCAGACTGAACCAGAGAACCAAGGCCCAAGCAACTGAGTAGCTTCAGGTTAGAAATAATCACACAGGGGCGCCTGGGTGGCTCAGTTGGTTGGGCAGCTGCCTTCGGCTCAGGTCATGATCCTGGAGTCCCGGGGTCGAGTCCCACATCGGGCTACCTGCTCGGCGGGGAGTCTGCCTCTCCCTCTGACCCTCCTCTCTCTCATGCTCTCTGTCTCTCATTCTCTCTCTCTCAAATAAATAAAATCCTAAAAAAAAAAAAAAAAGAAATAATCACACAAAGGACTATCTGTTTTCAGCTCCTGCTTCAGACCCTGGTAGGTGTATCCAACCATGACGCTGATAATGTACAGTTCCTCCATCACCCTCAGCAGTCCCTAATGATGCCCTTTCTGGAACCACCTGAATGTTGCTCTACCAGAGTCAAGTAGTCAAAATTACACATTAAACCCTCACTCTGCCCCTTCTCAGGGGTCAAAATTTTCTTGTTTGAAGTCAGAATGTTGAACTTCTGGAGACCTTGTAACTGAGGATTCCTGTCAATGGGGACTTCTGCAGTCAGTGACCCACTGCCTTCCTGGAATCTTACCAGCAGCCTTGTAGGACAGTAAACTTCCTCTCACTCTTGAAGATGAAGGGCTGGTGGGGAGTTTGGGCCATGCAAGGCTGCGTTTCTACCACAAAGGCTTTCTGAAGCAGACACTTTAGCAACGCTGTGAACAGGACCTTCCTCTTTGGTTAGAGAGTCATCCTGATAGCTAACCAGGTGACGCAGTCCCTTCAGGTCCTCCAGCAGCTAATACAGATGAAAAACAACAGCTTTCCTCCAGCCGTGAACACTTCTCCAACTTTTCCATCTGTGGTCCAGGTGCCAATGCCAATGCAAGCATTTCGCTGCAGGGCTTTCCATGCCTCCAACTCTGGCAGTAGCTTGATTAGGGTAGGTAATGGCTTAGCAGTGCTTTAAAGGTATCCAGCACCTCCTTTTTCCTTTTGTCCCATTCACGGGGTTTTCTCCAGAAGCTGCTAATGTCTGGTCTGATGGGGGTCTAAAGAGGACATCCTCACTGGGGCTGGGTCTTCTATCACAAGTAGAAGGCATCCTTGCGGTCCTTCAGTTGGCTGATGGATTTCACCAGCTTCTCCATCTTAGTCCTTAATTCCAGGTTCCAGGATTCAATCTCCTGCTGCTGGCTCTCCACAGGTGCTTTGAGGTCTGCCTCTCCTTGCTCCGACTGAGCCCTCTGAGCCTGAATCAGAATTAAAGAGATTAAACATCATCTCAGCCAACTGGGTAGGGCCCTGAGGAAAGGCCTGACTGTCCCAATAGAATTTTCACAAGTTCTGCTGTAGCAACAAGCACTCAGGGTCTTGGCTGCAGCAGGCATACTCAGAGTTCATTTGGTCCAAGAACTGAAGGAATGGCATGTTAGCCTTGGAATCATCGTTGCCCAGTAATAATGCTGAGAGAAAGAGAAATCAAAACACCTAAATCTTTAAATACCACACAACTGACTGAAAAGCACTGGATTCAAGTGGGACTAAGCAGTTCTAAAAGGTAGGTGGGTCTCATAACACAATCAAGATATTTCCAGAAGGCAATGCTGTGTGTGTAAATGTCTGTAAATGAAAATTTGTAAACATGTAACATCTTCGTAGAAATAGTCTTACTGAGTTTTTTTTAAAGTCCTAGTCCTAAATAGTTCAGAAATCTATGGTGAGATTATAGATTTTTCAGGAATAAATATTTTTCAACTAACCCAAAAGTTGGAATCCAGTGCTATGGCATTAAATAATATGTATATTTATTTTTTTGAAATATAGAGTGTATATCCAGAATCTGTTTCTGGAGATGCTGATTTAGTCTAAACAGCAACACCTGGTATCTGATGATTACTACACTAGTGGAACTGAAGAGGCGCACCGTTACTGGATTGTAGAGCTAGAAGCAATCATTAATATCAAATTCAAAAGGTTTTACAGATAAAGAAACCACGATCTACAACTATCTGCAAGTAGGCAGTGTGACACAGCTACTCTTCTGTTTGGATCTTCAGATGCTAGCTTCTAACTTGCCCCAAAGACAGTGCTCGAATTTGACTTCCTTTCTAATTCTTGGTAGTGATGCCATCAAACTCCTGAAAATAGTCTCTTGGCAGCTTTCTAAAATTTGCAACATAAAACAAGTTACATAGGAGAAAGATCATAGAAAAGACCATTTTCCAGACTGGGAGTGGGGACAGAAAAAATACTGAGAAGGTCTAGTCCTCGTGTTCATCATATTGAAAAGACAAAGTCTCCATGATTGTGCTAATTATGGTTGCATTTCGGAAATAAGGTATAATTTAATGTCAACATAATAGACATTTCCAAATTTCAGTGTCATGTTACTGTATATACAAATACATATTCACACTGCTCCTAAATTAAATACTCCATATTCATTTAGAAGAATTCATTTTAATTTTTCGTGCTTGCCCATCTTAAATAACTGAGATCTGCAGCTGCTACTGCAAAGGACAAATTTAAGTTACAGACAGGTAGCTTGCCTTTACAGAGTTTATTTGATACAGGCTTCAAATATACATTAACATCTCAAGTATTACTTTACTACTAAAATACGGCCACCTCTTACATAATGTGGCACAATGAGCTATTGACATGGTAAGAAAAAATGCGTCCATAATCTGGACTGATTATAGTTTGGCAAATACAATTTTAATTGGAATTTTCTCAATTACTCCAAGATGTACTGAACATGAGCGAAAATGAATGTTTTGATTACTAATAAAAAAATTCAATTACTCTTAAGATTAAAGTTGAAAGATAAACATCTACCATCCTAAACATATAGGCTGTGGCCAGCTTTCAAAAGCAGCAAGTCAAACTGTCTCCATCTATTCATTTTAATTTTCTATTTCAGTAATAAAGGTTGATCTTTTAAAAGATACTATATACTTAAGTAGAATTTAAACACACAACTGCTCATTTAACTATCCATCCCCCAAAACTCATTATACCCCACCCTCTGGGGAAAAAAATACCAGTGGCTCTCTAACTTTCTTGAAAATATTCTATGTAGGTGGAACAAGACACCAAAACTCGGTACTAGTTTTCCAGCATGTATGTGCACATGTGCAGTAACTTTATATTTCCAAATACAGAATGGGAATAAAATTTCTTAGGAGAAATAAGAAAAAAGACTCTGAGAACAAAGGTCAGGAAAATCTTACAGCTCACTAATTTTAATATACACACCCAGAAGGCAATGCAAATCTTACTAATTCATCTACTTAGTTTACTAGTAAGTTGCCTTGAGTTTCATGCAAAAAAAAAAGGGGGGGGAACTGCAAATCATTTATCTATTATAAAAGGGAGAATGCCTTTCTGGGGATCCATTTTACAAAAAAAAAAAAAAAAAATGTAGGCCATCTCTCATGGCACCTGTCCATAGTTTGAGAATCATTGCTGAAATCACTTCTATCTGTAAGTACTAGCACACACAGGTGCAATTTATAATTATTATTAAGTCATGGGTGTTTTCTCCAGAAAAATGTACACACACACACACAAAATCTGATAAAATTTCAGAGAGTTCACAGATGTGCTGAAGCCTGTTCATGATTTAACAAGCTCTACCCAAGACTATTTTCAACAAGTCTCTGGGACCATACCTTTTCTAAATCAAACCAGACTAAATGATGTCAGAGTAGGAGAACAAGATTCATGCAGGGACCACTCCCATTATGCTGAATAAAAAAGGCACTTGACTATGCCCGCAGTCTATCAAAGCTTATACTTAATTTTCAATAAAGATATAGCTGTTTTTAAAAAGACATGCATTTTCCTTCGATGTAATAAAAACTGACAAATTCCTATAGTCATTTTCCTTTCTTTAGCTTTTCCTCTACTGCCGCCAAACTGCGGTTTAGGAAAGCTTTTGCTTAAAATACCATTAATTCCTGGGATGTATAGTATATCCAATTTATCCTGAGATAATAAACCTTATAGACCCGAGACCTTCAAGGTCAAAGTACATATTAGTTGTGACATAGTCTTTAAGTCAATTAGTTTGATTCATGTTAAGAGTTTTTGATTCAAGTTAAAGTCTCTTAAGAATTTTACCTTCTCTAGACTGAGCAGTGGCAGAGTGGGAGAATGAGCCTGGGGATAAAAGCGACAGCAACTTTGGTCAGAATCTGGTCTATCACTTATTTGTGTGGGATACTGGTGAATTATTTAAACTCTCTGAGCCTTGCCAGTCCCAGTTTTCCTTGCCAGTAGTAAGGTAACAACTGGGCCCCGGGCCTCTGCCAGTCCCTGGTCTGGCAAGATAACAATGGTATCTCCCACACAGGACAACGGAGACTGAAGGCACACAAAAGACGCCAACCCTCTTCTCAGCTCAGTCTAAAGCTGAACATCCCCACTCTTTCAATGGTGGCTTGTCTAAGCGACAATGTCAGGTCATAACCATTTACCTTGAGTGATCTATATACCCAATAATGTGCTCCCCAAATTCTTATGCAGGCCTACTCACTGTCCCTGGGCACAGCAGCCCATCTAGCTACTATTCCTTTCACAGTTTTCAGTTGGGGCACAAATAGTGTCTCAACCTAAATGAAGGTATTTCAAAGCCCCAAACTTAAAATAGCCAGTCCTTAATTAAGCATCACTACTGCATGGTTTCCTTATTCCCCATTCTCGTCATTTGTATTCATCATTTCAAAGTAACTGATTAATACAGAAAACTAGCATATCTATACTCCATCTGACTGATATACTCTGGAATGCATCATAATGGGGGGTGGTGAGAACAAATGGCATATACCCTTTCATAATTTACTGTTCATTTAAGTGAAACAGGAGTAAGACACACTACAGAAACTTCACTTATGTATGTGTATCAGGACCATGTCAGGGTTCAGTGAGGACTCAGTAGCTATGATACTCTTAATATTTGTACTCTGGCTTAATTAGAAGTAAGAGGAAACTACATTTTAGGTTTAGTATCAATTCATAAGGTTCCAGGTTTTGTTTTCCTGCAGTTCTTGTAAAACTGGTATTCACTACATGTGAATGACAAGCAGAGACAAAAAGAAACCATTCTTTTTCATTCTTCCCCACAAAGCTTAATTCTCAACTTATCTTGAATAAGAAAAACGTATCTCCTGGGTAGGACCATGGAAAGAGTCATACTGTTCATCTTTCTAACTTGACAAGTCTTCCCTATGGGAAGAAGGAAAATTATCTACAAATTCATCCTTATCACTATACCCCGTACAGTGACAATGTGGAAATGGAGACCAAAGCACACCTTCAGCAGCACTGACAGTCAGTTGAACTTAATCTTTTGCAGGGGTTGGCATGGAAAGAAAACAAGCTATAGGAGCTTGCCAAAACAAGAACTCTCTGTACCTTGGGCCATCACATGTCCTTAAATTTGGGGGACCTGAATTAAACCAACAAAAAACAACCCTTCTCCATCCCCAAAGAAACCTTCCTATATTGTGTACTTATGCAAAGCACAGGTAACCATGTCAAATTTATTCTGGTCCTAGCTGAGGTTCAGTAACAACTGGCTTTGGGCAGTTATTAAATGAGCACTTTGTTTTATACTCTGTGGTATCCAGGACATTCCCCTCCTGCTACTGAAACAGTTATAAATGTGTTCTGACTACACTTTATATGAAGGCAAAGTCAGTAATATATTAGTAAATCTAATAATAATTGATTACAAAAAAACAAGTTGAAGAAAAACTAAATACTTGTTATAAAGGCCAAAAGGACATTTAGTAAATGTCAATTCTCACTTTCAATCTAAAGAAAAAACTCAACAAATTAAAAATAACAAGGTATTCTCATATTGTGATTAAAAATACTTATCTCAGAAAAATAAATAAATAAAAAAAATAAAAATACTTATCTCAAATAAATGGTCAAAATCACGTTTACAAGTGAATAAAACACTGGAGACAGCCTTATAAAATAGGGAGATAGCCCTATAAAGAATGAGACAAGGATGCCTGATAGCAGATAAAAGATTTCTAACACTGGTCTTTAATTTTTAGCCTCGGAATTCTCAAATAGGAAGAGGTGGTGGTGGGAGATGCAATACAATAAAGCAGGGAAAAGACACCAACAAATTCTTTCCTAAGAGACACAAAAGACTTGGAGAGATATACCATGCTATTGGTTTAGAACATTCAATGTTATATTGCAGAATAGAAATTCTTCCAAAATTGATTTATAAATTTAAGTATTTTGAAACACAAGTAGACTGGTCAACTAATTGGGGAAAGTTAATTCTGTATAATGCACATACAACACTTAAATACATCAATAAAACATAACAAACAGATACGAATTCACAATCTATAAGAAGTTCATTCACTCTATTATTCAAATACAAATTAAAATGAGACAGCTTTTTTTAATCAAATTGGCAAATGTGCAGAAAAAATATTCAATTCAAGGAAATAGGTACTCATCATCTTTGACTCAGCAGTTCTACTTCAAAAAGCATCAAAGCAATAACCAAAATGTTTATATGAAAAAATGTTCATCACAGTGTCATAAATAAGAGCACCAAAATGAAAATAATATACACCAGCAGGAGGTTGCTTTAATAAATTTCAAATGCTCATGTATAATGAAATACCATGCAGCCATAAAAAACTGTTTTCATGACAAAGGAAAATATTCATAATAATGAGTATTAAGTTTTAAAACATAACAAACCAATGTATTTTGTGTATATATACATTCACAAGAAGGAAAAGGACTACAAAGAAATACACACTGCAGGAAACACATCAAATCATTTTCAGGGAAAATGTCTTGAGTATTGAGATCACATACAATATTTACTTTCTTCTGTATGCTTTTATATATTTTTCAAATTTCCTTAAGTAGAAACATATTACTTTTATATTTGGGAAATAAACATTATCTCAAAGAGATGATCTAAATTTTAAATTTCTCGTCTGAATTCTCTAGGGGCTATAAACCCAGAATATGGTTTTAATTAGAATGACATTTTTAATGAAAACAGTGATGTATATAAACGTTAAATCATCTGAAAAAAATTTTTACTATGGTAACCCCATTCTTATATGAAGCACTATTGAGTTAGCAACCAATGAGGTAAGTAATAGAATATGGTTCATAACAAAGTAAACATCCAGGAGCAGAAAGGAGTAGGTACAAAAAGATCAACGGAAAGGGTCAAAGCTTATCATCCCAAAAAGATTTCTTTTGGCTTAGCTTTAATTCTTAGCTTTGATATAAACAAATTTCACATAGTTTACTATACAGTAATTTTATGTTTTGCTCTGTGGCCTCTTTAATATATACTTATATACACATGTATGTACATGTGCATATGTGTGTGTGTATATAAACAAACTTGAATAGCCTTTTAAATAATCTTTACCATCAAAGTGAATAAACTTAACAAGGACTTCAAGAATTTAAATACAAGAATAAGTAGCTGAAGAAACTGACCTGATGACAATATATGTAGTTACTATTAGCTACATTTGAAAAATGGCCCTTATATTACTTTAGTGCTAAATGCTGGACTATAACAAGTAACAACCAGACATTTAGGATATCACTTTAAACAAATTTAACTTTGAATAAGTTAAAAAGAAAGAAAGAAAGAAAGAAAATCAACATATCTAAATTAATTATAGCTATTTACTTCAAATGAATTCATTTTATAAAAATTAAACTTACCAAATTAAAAAACATTAACAAGATACTAACACATCAAACTTAAGGAACATTTGGGATAGAGTACAACCCCAAAATTATTGTTTTTATTTATCATACCATTGTGACAGGCCATGACCAAATATAACCCAAAATGTGAAGATCACCACATCAGAATGAGACTCTGTACCTTAGACTACAAATTCATTTAAACACTGACATAATACAGGTCTACACAAAAGTAAGTTGCTTCGTAAGATGAATAAGATTCTGAATCCTCCTCGTTCAGAGGATATAAGACTTTAATGATTCCTGTGACTAAAAAACCACAAATATTTGGGTCCCCAACATACAATGCTTCAGATAACTCCCACTCCCCCTTTTACAATATTTTCCCCCTCATTATATCAGGGGAAACCTTACTTAGGTAATAAGAGCCTTTCAATAACCAACATCCCTTAATTCCTTTTTTTTTTTCAAGGAGGGTGTTCTGAGGGTCCAGGGCAGTCTGCAAATCAACGCAAAGGGGTAGCCATCAAGAGGCTCATCTGAAGTATTACCAGGGAGCGGCAGGCAGCAAACATTCAAACCCAGAAACTGTGACTCAACATTTCCTATATAATGCAACAATTCTGCACAAATGATAGACATTGTCAAGAAGAATTCTGCCTGAAGAAGATGTAAAATGAGAAGAGAGATCGACAGACATGAAGGTAAGGTGTCTGATTATACTAATATCGGTACTTACGTATCATACCTCTGCAGTGGTGTCACTTTGTTCTTATTCTTATCAACTGAACCCGTAGATAGTTGAAGAAAATTGGGGTTTAACTTATATAATTCTTGAAGTAGTTTCTGTTCATATTCTTGGTGCTTACCCGCCTAATGGAAGAAGAAATTAAAACTGCAGTGTGGTTCACAAAATGGCTGGTATAAAATGACTTACTTTCTGAATTATTAAAGATATCCTAAATAAACATGTAAGGATTTTTCATGGCATAGAGAACCCCGTGAGGATGATGTCACAGAACTGGTAGACCAATGAAAGTTCTTCCTACAAAACTACATGATATATATGCCATTAATTAAGGATTTCATCAACCATTTATTGTGCAGAAAAGCATATCAACAGACAACTTTTTTGCCAGCTCAGAAAACTAGAGGCCTGGGGCGCCTGTGTGGTAGTAAACTGCCAGTCCCCGGTCTGGAGCTTAAAATACATTAATTTTTATGTAAAAACAAAGTAATGGAGTTTTTACTGTGTGTCAAGATAATGAAAAATGTATTAAGACTCTTCATCTGTGTACTATTTACAATGTGTTCATCTCTTTTAAAAAGAGAAATTAATATTTTTTGGTGATCTGAAAATTTTGTAATGTCCTGTTAGAAGACTTCATTCTTAAGTAAAAGATGGGGAAACAGGTTGAAAAGGGCCTCTAGTTATTTGTTTGTTTGTTTTTAAAGATTTTATTTATTTAGGGGCACCTGGGTGGCTCAGTCATTAAGCGTCTGCCTTCGGCTCAGGTCGTGATCCCAGAGTCCTGGGATCGATTTCCGCATCGAGTCCCGCATCAGGCTCCCTGCTCGGTAGGAAGCCTGCTTCTCCCTCTCCCACTCCCCCTGCTTGTGTTCCCTCTCTTGCTGTGTCTCTCTCTGTCAAATAAATAAATAAAATCTTTAAAAAAAAAGATTTTATTTATTTGACAGAGAGAGACAGAACACAAGCAGGGGGAGTGGGAGAGGGGGAAGCAGGCTTCCCACCGAGCAGGGAGCCTGATGCAGGGCTTGATCCCAGGACCCTGGGATCATGACCTGAGCCAAAGGCAGACGTTTAGCGACTGACCCACCCAGGCGCCTGTCTTTTTTTTTTTAAAGATTTATTTATTTGACAGAGAGAGAAAGAGAAAGAGAAAGAGCACAAGCAGAGGGGAGCAGGAGAGGGAGAAGCAGACTCCCCACTGAGCAGGGAGCCCAATGTGGGCCTCAATCCCAGGACCCTGGGATCATGACGTGAGCCAAAAGGAGACACTTAACCAACTGAGCCACCCAGGCACCCCAGCCCCTTTGTTTTTATAAAGTTTTATTGGAATAGTCATGCTCATTCATTTACTTGCTGTCTATGGCTTGTCTCTGCTACAACAGAAGAATTTGAGTATTTACTACAAAGACCAGATAGGCCCAGAAAGCCTATAATATTTACTGATTGGCTCTTTACAGAAAGTTTGAAGATCAGTGTTCTATATACAACAAAATCTGTATTTCCTGTAGTTGGATGCTGTATATCAGAAGACAGTGTCACAAATGTTATCAGAGAAATTAGGCAAAGTCTGCCTCTGGAAATTAGTCATACACAAAAATAAATTACAATGAGGAGAGCCTGAGTGGCTCAGTTGGTTAAACATCTGCCTTCAGCTCAGGTCATAATCCAAGGGTCCTGGGATTGAGTCCCACATCGGGCTCCTTGCTCACTGGGGAGTCTGCTTCTCCCTCTGCCCCTCCTCCCTCCTCTCGTGCCACACTCTCTCTCTCAAAAATAAATAAAATCTTAAAAAAAATAAGTTACAATGAAACTACCTTGAATGACTTTTTACTATTTGCATGTATATCATGACTGAAATGACATTTTTACTTACCTTCAGGATTGTTTAATTATTTTAGAAGTGTGGTCTAACTAGATGTTACAGGAAAACCAAACCCAGAAAGGGACAGATCAAAACAAACACAAAACAATAAAAACAAGCAAGGGCAACATCATCTAATCAAGTAGGACTGTATCATATACACTGCACAATGCATTGTGCCCTGTTTTGAGGGGGCTCCTGCCTGTTCCAAATGGATCTATAAATATTTCATATGGTACTAAATTTTCAATTATGCAGTAACAAAGAAAGATCTGACTTTTGCCATGATATAATTTGTTCAAATTTCCTTTCTATACAGAGGAACTGTTTTAATAAAGAAACCTCTTTTCAAATTAATTTTAAACTCACATAAAGAGCAGATAAATTTCATCACAACAATATGAATTTTAAATTATTAAGAAAAAAATACAGTTAGATGTGGATTTTACATCTTTAAAACATGAAAAGCCTTTAAATTTTTTTTTACAATCAATACTTCAGGAGACATTATGGCTTTCATTAGCAACTAAGAGCTAAAACTAATACTCAAATGATTTTACAGGGGCAGTCCACAAAGACAGGTTAAATCCCATTACAAGTCAGTTCCATGGGACTGTCTGTCCATTTTTGTTTACAATTCAATAATACTCAAAATGAGATCAACTTGGGCTGAGATTATTGACAGAAATCTTCACTATAATAGTAGCATGAGTAATGCATATTCTTTACATGTCAAAATTTAGTTTGGAATGGTTCAACCTTAGATTCTATCCAGAATGTTTCACCCAAAAAAAGAAAAAAAAAAAAAACAAGCATTTATTAAGTAAGAAGTCATCTGTTCCCATTAAATATCACAGAGACCTTATTTTAACAGTTTTGGGACCATAAAGAAATATAATCAAGAAATTCCAATGAATCGATTATAATGGAACTTAAATCTGAAATAACTTCAGGGCGCCTGGGTGGCTCAGTCAGTTAAGCGGCTGCCTTCGGCTCAGGTCATGATCCCAGGGTCCTGGGATCGAGTCCCGCATCGGGCTCCCCGCTCTGCGGGGAGCCTGCTTCTCCCTCTCCCTCTGCCTACTTGTGTTCTCTATCTCTCTATCAAATAAATAAATAAAATCTTTAAAAAAAAAAACAAACTGAAATAACTTCAAGTCAAAAAAAGGGTAATATTTCATTTTAACAATCTGCTCTTAACAGAGACCCTACTAGACTTTCTCTAGTTTGACATGGAGAGTCCAAGGTGGCAATCAATGCCCCTCTATCTTCTAAATGAGAGGTATTCCTGCAAAAGTCCACAGCAACAATCTGATGTCCTCATCTGTAATAGGGAAGTGCAGCATTGTGCTTTGGTATAATCCTTATTTAATATGCATATGGTCAACATTTTTATTTGTCATGTTTATAATACTACAAATTGAAAGGAGAACAGAGAACAGGAAATATAAAAAAGAACACAGGATAATAAGCCTTCAGTTCATCCTTCACAGGACACTGACTCAGTACACTTTCATAGAAAAAATCATTTTATAAAAATGTTAGGTTATCAGCAACATTTGATAGGTTATTTTCTAGCATGTTCTGTAAAGAGTGGAAATTAGGAAGGAAAAAAAACCTCATAATTACAGTAACCCACTTAGCTTCCATTTTGTTGATATTCCCCCTAAAGTAGCATTTACCAAAATGCTTTCCTTGGTCAATTAAGTTCTGATTGTACATTCCCTTCTTGGATCTGTATTAGCATATTAAAGACTCTGAGAAGTCCTGCAGGAAAGAAAACTATCTTCATTAATCTAGCATTTTCAAACTTAATGGACTATAGACCCATTTTTATTATAACAATATTCTGTAGAACTGACATTCCATGGAACACTGGAAAATGCTACTTTAATAACAATTAAAAAAATTAAATCCCTAGTTCTTGCTTTTGCAATTTTAATTTATAAAGAAAAATACTCCCTTTTCTGCAAAGTTTTAATTCACATTATTTTACTACCTGCATTTCCTCTTTTGTGAAGCTGGCCGCCTCATCCCCCAATTCATGTAGATACATGCAGTCAGGCTTTGGACACTGCATATTCTTTAAGAAGTAACTGCAGTATTTTGTTGTACCTAGAGATGCCTGCAGAAAGAGCAGGGAGGGGGAAAAAAGGACCCAAAATGTGAATTGGCACAATGAGAATTTCCATGTTTGTTGTTTTCACTTCACCTCAAATAAGGCACAGACACGACAAAACAAGAGGTATGGCTCTCAATACTGGAGAACTAAACTATTACTAGCAGGATCTATTAAAGATGATGCTCCTTTGGAAGAACTAAAGAAAACACCTCAGTTAGGGTTTCCAGAACTTGAGTACCCAAATCATCCTCCCTAGAGATCAGAAGAGAAGATACACAAAATCTATTTCACACTACAAAAGGTAGGCACCTAAGCAAATTCTTTTTTCTAGTTATGTCATCCTTTTTCCATTTATATAAAGCATGGCTTAGTGCGACCCTTTACTCAAACCTTAATTGATCAATGGCCAAATCTTTAAGGATGACAAATTAGAACGATTCTCTATTTCTGATATGAATAATAGATCCTATTTTCACAAAATAAGATTTATGTGTCAATACAGATTTTTAAAGATTATCACCTGATAATGAATGTGTTTATTCCTACCTGGTAAAACAAGACCCTCCATAAGCTGGCAGTAAACAAATTAGCTGTCATAAGTTAGTATGGATGCTTAAGAAGCAATCTTCAAATAGATTCCCTCCAAATGTAATAAGTAAATGGTAGGCTCTCCCCTAGTTACATTTTATCTCTTCCCCCTTAAAAAAAAATCAAGAGGACCATATTACCTTAAGTGTTCTGCCATCTACTACCACATTGTTGACACACTGTATGGCTCTGAGAGCATCTTCTGACCGGATATAGGTTACATAAGCACTGGCACTTGGACCCTAAAGTGAAAACACACTGTTACTAGTTTCAAATTCAAGAAAAACTTAAAAAAAAACAAACAACAATTCCTTTGCACCCTGCCTAGGGAATTCTTAAGACCTTTACAACTACTATCATTAATAATAGGGGCGCCTGAGTGGCTCAGTCATCAAGCGTCTGCGTTCAGCTCAGGTCATGATCCTAGGGTCCTGGGATCGAGCCCCGCATCGGGCTCCCTGCTCGGTGGGAAGCCTGCTTCTCCCTCTCCCACTCCCCCTGCTTGTGTTCCCTCTCTCACTCTCTCTCTCTCTGTCAAATAAATAAAAATCTTAAAAATAATAATAATAATAATAATGACAATAATCAGAAATAGTAGTAGCTTTGATTAAACCATATCCTAGCTCATCTTAAAACAATTGTACTTATCTGATTTTAAGTAGACTAAAATATAATACGGATAACGTATCATCTCTGGCTTGGTATTTATTTTTCTAAATCATTTGACAGGCTCGTCAAGGTTACAACAAACTTTGAAAATTAGATTTAAAAAAATAAAATTTAAAGACACCGTGTCAAATTATGTTCTCCCCAAAATAAATGCAATTTGCAAGTATTCTATCTGCTAATACCAGCATAACAAAGATGCTCTATTAAGTTTTCAATATCTGAAAATATTAATTAGAAATCATCTAATTATTACACTGCCTGATAATAGACTCAACTCCCCCTCCCCCTCAAACCATCACTTAATCTTTGTTTTACTATTTCTTACTACTATCAATTCACTCTTTAAGTCCCGAAGTCAAATGAGCACCAGAAATTCCCCCACCCCACCAGTAGAGGTCACTACACTGCTTAAATCCTTGACCCTCAGACTTTCTAGAAAATCCCAGAAAGCAGATTTTCCTTCTAAACAGCCCAGGCCAAGCCTAGACCACGGGGAGGAAAGGCAAAAATCCCTATAATTAGTTACCTGTGAGCCTGCATATGATGTGCTATTATTGATGACAACTTTATGTATTTTACCAAACTTCCCAAAATATTCTGGTCGTTTTAAAACCTATAAAAGAAGAAGAAATAAGGTATAATGTGTCCCCATTTTCATCAATGTTATTCTTATAATGGGGACATACCCCATCCCTCTTCAGTGAAAGGAAAATAATTTTTAAAGTTTTCTAATAAATGTGACTACTTCCTAATTACAATTTGTATGGTTAACCTATAGGAAATCATCAAGAGTCTAAAAGCTATTTTTCATTGACCCACTATATGGAAACTAAGACTCCCTAAGTTTGGTATTACCCACTATGTTCTAATATCTGCACCAATAATCCATGGGATCTTATCTTCACAGTGTGCTTAAACACTAAACAGATCAAATATCTTAACCACATTTTCATTAACAGATAATCCTTATAAAAAAGTAATTGTCAAAACAATGACCAAAATAATTATGTATTAAACAGAGACAGAAACTCAAGAACAGACATAGTAGAGTCTCTACTCATAAATCTATTGTATATAACATTTGATATATTATATTAAACCACAAATTGCAAATATGGTAACAATGTTCAACCTTAGCTTCATGCTGTGTGTGTGTGTGTGTGTGTGTGTTATACTTAGTTTCTTTGTGTCAATTTTACCACTTCTTGATTTTCTCCTGTTTTTTTCCTCCCTTTTCCTGGTAAATAACATATATGCATGCGGTGATATGTGCAGTGATGGATGGAAAAAAATCGAGGAAACAAATTTATACATTTCTTTCTCTATTACCTGGTTACTTTTGGGTGGTTATTCCCCCTCGCATCTGTGTCACTTCCTTTACTTTGTGATCACTACATACATTCATTTAACTTCTCTTACAGACTTACTTGACCTTGGCTAATTTGACTAATATGTACCGTGATACAAAAACCTCTCCTTGTAATTCACAACTACTTCAAAATTAAATTTTGTTCTTTCCCTAGAATATTATCTGTAGATCTACTTTCCTACAACCTTCCCAAATAGCAAGCTCTCTCTCAGGGAAAGCATTCTGTGTATACCTGTCCATGTGTGTGCAAAGTATTCTTTCCAAACACTCTAATTTGATAACATTCTCACATACTTACAACTTAGCTAGTATGTTCTGCATGTGAAAGAATCGAAGCTTTGTGAAACAGTCTGACTGGGGTATCATTAATTCTCAACAGTTTTCAAATTAATTAACATAATTATTTTTACCACAGTTTACTTTAGGTTCTTGTAAGTACAAGGCTGTTATGTTTTTTATAGCCAATTTTAATGGATTATAAGATGAGGTGACTGTATTGGTTTTTAATCTTTTTTCCACCAAATCCCCCAAGACAAATGAGACTATTAGTGGCAAAAGCAATGACCCTCAGGTTGTACATAGCAAAGTCTCAGGGTTGATGAGTAGGGAAGAGTTTATTCTGAAAAGTTTCCTGGCTGGTGGAGTTTAGAACTGCACTCAATATTCCAACTGGATGCACACCAACTCGGCACAGGACTTCAGAACCAAAATATCTGCTTCAAAGAGTTCAGACTGGTCACACATTGTGCTGCATCATCATCTCAAATCACATCTGAGTTTATGGTAGTAGCTCTCAATGAAGGCAGCATTCAAGGGAGCATTTAAAAAATCTGTGGGAGCTTTCATTGGGGGAGGTTGTCAAAGTGACTGGGAGGCCATGCTTATGTTCAGTGGATGGGAGCCAGGAATGGCTTACAATGCTCTGTCTGGCTAGCCCTGCACAGTAAAGAACTGTCCTGCACAACTTTTGAATGTTCTACAAGACATTCATGTAGCTGAGAAACCTATTTATAATTAAGTGAAACTAGAAACAAATTCCACATTATATATAAAATCAAAAGTAGTTCCCTACAGTTTTGACATATGTTGAATTTATAGGAAAGCAAATAATACGTAATTAAGGTATGACTACAAGTGCTTTGTTCAGAATTATACCAAGAGTTATTTCAGAAAAATCACATCGTTGGCTTTTCATAGTATCTGGATTGCCGATACACAGACCTATAGCAATCTGCCTTTGTAGATGTCACACGGTGATTCTGCACACAGATGTAAGCATCTTACTGTTTTATTGTGTACTTAAAAACAGTACTTCCCAAACTTAAATATGCATACAAATCATTTAAGGATCCAGTTAAATTGCATATTCAGATCTAGTAGCTCTGAAGCAGGGCCTGAGTTTACATAATAAGCACCCAGGGGTTACTACTCTACCAGCTCAGAAACCACACCCTGAGTAGCAAGGTTCTAGAGTAGTGGTACCCAAATTTTACATGTAGAAATAGTCTGTTTCATAAATTATTTCTCTTTTATTCCTTTTATTTCTTTACATCATGAAATCACTTCATAAAAGTCAAAGAGTGTTATAAAATATTTTTAAAAACGGTTACCAGCTCTGATAAGGTTGAAAACCACTCACTCACGGAAACAGTTTCTGTCCAGTATTTGGGTATAATACCTTCAATACAACATAAGACTTGTATATAATTATACTGACATGTCACACTGGAGCCAAAATGATTATTTTCAAAGCACAAATCTAGCCATGTCACTGTTCCTAAGAACATTCAACAGGTTCCCACTGCCTTTAGAATAAAGTGCAAACTCCTTTGCATGGTTAGAAAGCCTTTCATAGTATGTTACTACTTACCTCACCAGCCTCATCTCTCACCACTGCAGTCTAATCTTCCAGCCAAAAAAAAAAATCACTTGCAGACCGACATCTTTCTCATCCTGAAGAATCTGTACAGTTCCTGTACCAGAAGCACTTCTCCCCAAAGATAGTGGAAGAGTACATACTTCCCCAACAAGATCGGGTGCTCTCTCTTGTGCCTCCACAGCACAAAGTACTTCTCATAGTGTATTATACTGTTAGTTTGAAAATAAGCAAGGACTACCTTTGTACTGGTGTATACTCAGTGTCTTACACACTGCCCAGTACTCAATAAATGTTAACCGAAAAATAACTGTTTCAGCACTGAACAAAAAGAGTTACATGGATAAAGAACATTGGTGGGCCTCAAAGTATTAGCAAATGGCCTATGGCTGATAAGAAATGGCCTGCCCGGGCAAGGGAAATTCAAATAATTTAAACCCCCTTTTTTTTTTAAAGATTTTATTTATTTATTTGACAGAGAGAGAGCGAGAGCAGGAACACAAGCAGGGGGAGTGGGAGAGGGAGAAGCAGGCTTCCCACTGAGCAGGGAGCCCAATGAGGGGCTCGATCCCAGGACCCCGGTATCATGACCTGAGCTGAAGGCAGATGCTTAACGACTGAGCCACCCAGGCACCCCCAAATAATTTAAACTTTCTATATTAAGTTAAATACTCCAGATTCTACGTAAACATACAACTAGCAAAACAGTATTCTAGTGACTAAGAAGTATGGGGAGTAGGTAAAACACCCTGCATATCACTACATGGTCCATATATTCAAAATATCATATATTTACTTCACAGTGAGCCACCTTTAATAGTATTAATAGAGGGCGCCTGGGTGGCTCAGTCGTTAAGCATCTGCCTTCGGCTCAGGTCATGATCCCAGGGTCCTGGGATCGAGCTGCGCATCGGGCTCCCCGCTCAGCGGGAAGCCTGCTTCTCCCTCTCCCACTCCCCCTGCCTGTGTTCCCTCTCTCCTGTCTGTCAAATAAACAAATAAAATCTTTAAAAAAAACAAAACAAAAACAAAAATAATAGTACTAAAGAATACAAAAAGCCATGTGAGAGAATTATAAACGCCCAATGGCATGCCTAATGTTTAAAATGTCTTCCTATATATTCTTTGGTAACATAGTCAAGTGATCATGGATACTACAGAGAAAATAAACTTGGTAAGCAGACAGAAGGATGAATGGATGAACAACAGACCAATTATCAGTGTAAAATATACTGGAATAGGACCTTTAAAAAACTGGTCGGTTGGGAAGGCGTGTGGTTTCTAGTCCTGGCTCTGCTATGAAGTAGCTGTGTGATCCCAGGTCACTTAACTAAGTCACTTAACTTCCCTATGCTTCAATTTCTCATTTGTAAAATATCATGGTTCTGTCTTTTAAGTCTTTTAGTTCCTCAAACAAGCTACTCTCTTGGACCACCAAATACCTGAGACACTCCTGTCCTTATTTGCTGCCTAGCCAATCTCTAGTAACTCTTAATTTATCCTTTCCTCTGGGAGGCTTTTTGTGGATTTCTATACTAGCCAAGTTCCCCACTGTTACATGTTCCCCAAAAAACTCTGTACTTCCCTGTTTATAAATCCCCAACACACTTATAAGTACTTAAATTTAGGGCGCCTGGGTGGCTCAGTCGATTAAGTGTCTGCCTTCGGCTCAGGTCATGATCCCAGGGTCCTGGGACTGAGCCCTGCATTGGGCTCCCTGCTCAGCAGAGAGAGCCTGGTTCTCCCTCTACTCCCCACTTGTGTTCTCTGTTGCTATCTCTGTCTCTCTCAAATAAATAAATAAAATCTTTAAAAAAAAAAAAAAAAGACTTAAATCCTGTCTTACCAATAGTCTGTAAGTCAGTTAAGGGTAGAGAATGAGTCTGGCGAGCTAAATTATTTTATTTCCAACATCAAAGTACCTAAAACATGGTAAGTATTCAAGAGTTAATTTATAAAATGAATGAATTAGGTTCCAGCAAATCTGAAATTTTAGGATTTGGAAGATGATTACCTCTAATCACTGCCTTGAACTACCTACCAGATCTTCTAAAATAGATTTTTTGGGGAAACCTAGGTGGCTCAGTTGGTTAAGCATCTGCCTTCGGCTCAGGTCATGATCCCGGAAACCCAAGGTCCCTCTCCCTCTACTCCTCCCCCACTCGTGCTCACTCTCTCTCTCTTAAATAAATAAAACCTTTAAAAAAAATTTTTTTATTGATCAATAAATGAATACATTTGACAATCAATCTTGGTATTAAGTTTTCTGATGCACAAAAGTCATTTTCAAAATAAGCTTGAATTTTCCCTAAACTCTCCTATTTTGCTAATCGGAATTCAGTCAAATATCAAATTGTTCATCGTCCAAAAATAAGTAAATAGAGATCTTCTTTGACCTGAAAGTTACACTAACAACTTGAAACCAAGTTTTCTAATAAAGCCAACTTTAAGTTTTCCAAACTGAAAAGATTATACAATAAATTAAGAGAATTTGTTATATTATTATTTAGAAGTGGTAGGACTGGTCTGGTCTTTGGTCTTCCTAGAGTTTCAAGAGAAATAAATGTTTAAAAAAATTCACTGTCCTCTCACCAGGCAAAAATGATTTCAAAAGTATAAAACAAGTAGAGTGTTTTTTTAAGGCACATTTAGATTCATGATAAAGTACCCCTCTCTCACTAGATAACACCGATTAATTTTTTTTCTGTGTAATAGTTCTTCAGATTAATGTTACTGGAGTCATGTCATTTGAAGTGGAAATAAGAAACCTCTGTAAGTAAATAAAAACAAATCACAGAATCTAAAGAGGAGGTAGAAAACCTATAAGCCAAACACCAGACTGAGACTATGGCTTAATTTTAGCCAGCTTTCAGGTGTTGCTCCCCATATGCCTCCAGTACTATAGGTGACAGGATCCAGGCAGGATGTATTAACAAAATCAAGTACATGCATATCCAAGAGTTGTCAAATCAAAATAAAAGTTCCATTAGTTTACTGGAATAGCAGTTTCAGAAATGCCAAAGTAGATTCTAATCAGTAAGATTAGTAGGAGTAAATAGAGACAGATAAAACAAAAAACTTGCAAAGGCAAGAAGTACCCTCTGATTAGAAAAAAGGCAGAGTTTTGAAAGGGGAAGACAGAAGGACTGGTGTATAAAGTTGTAGTGGTGTTCAAGAAAATGGTCACAGGGGAACTGGGATTTTGCCTGCCTGAGGAATTAAAAACAAGAAAGAACTGGCTGCTGAGGTTGAGCCATAGGCCTAAAATGAGCTCTCATCCTTAACAGCTCTTACTGAAGTCTTTTCCTGTAGAACTCTAGATCAGCCCCCTTTGGCTTTGGAAAGAACCTGGTCTCCTGAAGGATTCATGCTGCCCACTGATGCCAGTAACCCTGGACTTAAGTCCAAGTAATTCTGGAGTTGCTTCTGTGTTTATTACCAATGATAAAGGGTTCTTAGTAAGGTCTCCCTGACTTTCTCTTCTACTGATCCTGAAGCCCTTCACAGCCTCAATTACATAGTAAACTCATCATTAATAAATATGTATTATTCTAAGTTGATTTTTACAAAAATCAATTTTTAGACTCCTTAAGTTTCCTTCCGCTGGGGCCTTTGCCCACTTAGCCAAGTCTGAAGATTCCCACCTCCCTAAGCATATTCACTATAATCCTCCCTCTTATGGGTACCATGACGATGAGCATTACTCCAAACCCTTCTCAAGGAATACTTTTGGTAGACCCCCAAATCCAACTCTCTCCTACTGAAGCAAACACTCTGGCTGTCAATCAGCTTCTACCTGCTCTCCCATCAATCTAGTCAGCACCTCCTAATACATCAGAAACTGAAAATTAGCAGATGACCATCCAAGGGTATCAGGGAAAGTTATAAGCTCAACATTACTCTTCAACGCAGGTGGTGAAAGGAGAAAAAAGAGGTAATGAACAAAAGGATTAAGGCCTCCCCTGCCTCCAAACAAATGACAAAGAACCTGGTCTCTTATTTTCCTTCATCCAATTCTTTCCCCAAAATTGGCTTAAAATGAATGTGGAGTAGCAGGTCTGTAACTGTTCAATAACCAAGAATCACTATGTGGACAGGATTAAAAAAAATACAGATCTCTAGTGGGTTCATGTAACTGCATGTCCACTGTGATCCTTATATAGCTACAGAAAAGAGGAAAGAAACCGAGTAGTCATGTCACATGTTAGCCTGAATAGCAAATTATCCAACTTTCACAGATTATTAGCACTAAAGGAGATTTCAGAGATCTAGTTCAACTGCCTCGTTTTACAACTGAAGAAAATGAGGCCAAGAAAGATTAAGACACTCTGATCACAACTGATCATTGGATTCTTAGAGATAATTAAAAAATCATTTCCCATTCTCTCCCAAGTTTTAATAATTTCAGGGGAATCCTGCAAATAGGCAAGGTCAGCTGTTATTTCCAAATAAGATAGGCAAAAAAGAAAAAAATGTCAAGTTGAGAAAGAAAACAGAAGAGGACTTACCTCTGGGTCTGCTAGGCGCTGAGACAGACCTACAACAAAGACGAGGTTTTTTTGTACAACACGTACACTAGCCAAATGTTTGCGGTTTTCTGATATTTTCTGTTTTCTCTCATTCTGTTTCTGTTTTTTCTCATTCTTTATCCTTTGCAATTCTTCCTGGGAGAGTGGTTTATAAACTGCTGGGTCTTCTGGATATGGCTTTAAGCACAAAACAAACATAGAAGTTAGCATTAAATAAGGAAAGAAATAAGCTATATGAAAACCAATTATCATTCTGGATGACAGGTATGTGGTTATTTGTTACATCTCCCTTTTCCTAAATCTTTTAATTGCTTAAAATATTATTTAATAAATTTAAGATAAAAGTTTTTAAAATACTTACTTTTTTTTAGAGCTTAGCACAGACTACTTTTAACACTAAAACTTAAAACACCACCAAAGGTTATGTAATAAAAAAAAAATACAACCGTGGTATTCCCTATAGTGTCTAGCAGAGTTGACAGAAAAGAAAGCTTCCAGGGTGCTGTGTAAGAGGCAAAAAGTATAACTTATCTCATCTAAACACAGGTTTATATATTACAATCCACAAATATTTAATGAAAACCTACTATGTGCTAGAATATTAATGAAGTACTTATTATTTAATTCATTGTCAATCTAAAAGGAACATAAATGGGCAAATAAACAACAATCCACAGATACTCTGGCTCAGGAGTTTGACTTTAGTTTCCAACACTTACTAGCCATGTGGACTTAAGCAAGTTAGTGAAACTCTATGCCTCAGTATCCTCAATAGTAAGATGAAAATGATCTTAAAGGGTGAGGCATAATGGTAAAAGTAAAGTAACTCTCATAAAGCCATTATTATCATGAACAGCACACAGTAATCCCTCAATAAATACTAGCAATTACACTGTTGTAATTTTTTTCCCTTTGTCATTACAATATTGCTTTTATTCCTACTGCTAATGCCAGGGCTACTGGTAGCCTGAATAAGAGCTACGGAATCACATTGCCTGGCTTTAAATCTTGGCTCCTCTCTACTATCTGAGAGACCTTGGCCATAAGTTATGTGACTTGCCTGCCTCAGTCATCTCTCCTATAAAATAGGAATCACGGTACTTTATTAAGAGGGTTTCTGTAAGAGTTAGAAGAGATATACATTTATAAAGTGATTAAAACTGTGCCCTACACATAAGCATTCAATAAGTCACTTATTATTACTACTAATCAAAAAATAGGGACGCCTGGGTGGCTCTGTCGGCTAAATGTTCGACTCTTGATTTCAGCTCAGGTCATGATCTCAGGGTTGTGAAATCGAGCCCTACATCGGGCTCCGTGCTGGATGTAGAGCCTGCTTAAGATTCTCTCCCTCCCTGTGCCCTTCCCCGCCTAAAACATAAATAGTTAATAATGAATGAAAGATCATATCTAAGTGGATATGAAGAGATCCCAGAAACAGGAAATTGTGCCTATAAGAATACAGGAGTAGGGACTAACAGAAATGATGTCATCAAGAAAAAAAGTAGGAACAAGGTAGAGTGGAGACAGTATTCAAAAGCCTGAAATCTTGCTATGCTTTTAACTTAAAGGTACTTTCATCTTTTTATACGTAAGTAAAATACAAAAATAAAAACCCTCGAATTTGTCAACACACTCAGATTAATGCTGAAGGCAATTAAGAAAGTGAGACTTCTCTTTATGTTCCTCAGCTTCTACTGGTAATATCATAAGGTCTCCCAAAATCCCGTTCTTAAATTTTCAGACATAACTCTTAGTGGTCCTGGAAGACGCAAGCACCCATACCATTTGATTTCCACATTTAAAAATCTGAATAATAATAATGAAATAAAAATCTGAATCTTCCAGCTAATTGGTCCTATTTGGCATACTGGAACTGACTTGTGAGTAGGGGGCATATAAAACAGCTGACTTGGTAACTTGTGTGACTTTTGCGTGACCTGAAGTCTTTCTCCAGGATGAAATATGAAGCTAGAAGTACACATTTTAGGCGCTCAATAAATATTTGCCAAATGAATGCCAAGCTACTCTCTAGAACAGAGAATTTAGCATGGTTAATTTTTCTTTTAAAAAAATCTTAACTTTTCAAGGCTCCAGAAAAAGTTGGAAAGGCATGCACTCCCTGACAGCTGCTCCAGCACACACACCACCAGAAATACCTACTCCACAAACCCAATGACACAACATTAATAAGCCAGTACAAAGAGATAAGCAAGGGAGAAAGACTAAAAATGGGATACGAAAAATACATATGGTTTACTTTTTGACTGAAACATGTATACTAAATTTTCTAGGAATACAGCGTCAAATGAAAATGTACAAGCATGAAATTTTTCTTTAAATATATTATTGTGTGTTATATATCAAACTAATGCAAAATATGGCACCTGTGGCATATGGCACTTTTAATGTGTAAAATATTTTTAATAGTGTTAATCTGACGATAAATTGCCAAACTATTAATTATGATGGTTTATAGACTCCAGTGTAATCACTTAATTTTTTTCATGTGTGTAGTTATAGTCCCACTTTTATTTCTAATGTATCTTTTATGTTTTTTCTCTTTATTTTCCAATCAGACTTGCCAAGAGTTTGATTATTTTATTGTCTTTCAGAGAACCAGTTCTAACTTTTATTGAAATACTACTTTTTTTCTATTTCACCAAATTCTGCTTAATCCCTGCTTCTATTGTCACAATGTTTACTACTCTTTTTTTGGTTTCTTAACCTAGAAATAAGCTAATTTATTTTTTGTTCTTTGTTTTCCAATAAATGCATTCACAGCCTTAACTTTTCCTCCTCCTAGAAACAATGAAAAATACTATATAAAGTTTTGTTTTTTAACCAATATCTTAGAAACAGTAATGACCTGCAGTGGGGAAGTCCCAAGCCAACTTCTGTATAAAAGTCAAAATCCAGAGAGGTAAGTGTAAATCTTTGTAACAACAAATGGGGAGGGAGGGTCAGCATTCAAAGCCCAGGGCTAGCCCAAGGTGAAGAGTCTTTGGGGAACTCAAAGAACTTAAACTGAGACCCAGCCCGTCCCCCAAAAGACTCTTTCAGTCTCAGGATAAGAACAAACTACAGACAGGTCAGAACAAGAAAAATGGGGATAGAAGAAAAACATCCTGAAGAAGTTGCTGAAACCAACCTTACGGAAAATTTGCATCCTAGGGACCTTAGACCTTTATACTTGTCCCCACCAGCGCCCATTATGCTTGAGGCACCTCTAACGTCACTGTTTATAGGATCCAGCAGAAGACAAATGAAAGTTTCTCTAGAGGAGGGCAAAAATACGTTAGGCCCTGGACAACTCTACAAATAATTCAGGGACAACAACCAAGAAGCAGGCACAGATATAAAACCAAGCACATAAAGAAATAAAACAACATGAACAACCAGTAGAAACATTCCTCACAGACTTTAGCTACTGGAATTATCTGACACAGATTTAAAAACAATAACGCTTATCTGTTTAAACAAATATATGATCTGCTGCCAAAAAACAAAACAAAACAAAAAAACCTCAAATATATGATAAACCTGAAAGTAGGTGCAGGGTACAAAATTGTATTTAAAATATATCAAGCATGAAAAGAGAACAAACATTACTTCTAGAAAGGCAAAATGTTAAAACTCAATACACATATTTATATCTAGCAAAAGACCAGACCTAAAAAAAAAAAATTCAAACACAAAAAGAAAGATCAGAAGAAATCATCCATTAAAGCATTAAGAAAAAAAACCAAACAAACAGAAAAGAGATTAGGAGACATGAAGAGCAGTGAAAATGAATCTGAAAAATATGTAATCAGAGTCCCAGAAGGAGAGGAAAGAGAATAAAGTCTGTATCTGAAGAGATGATAGCTGATTTTTTTCTCCCAGAACTAATGAAATTCACCAAGACAGATTTAAGAAGCCCTACAAATTCTAAGCAGGATAAATAAAAAGATATACCCAACTGAGTTCTTTTTGGAACTGGTTAATATTTCCACTGTAGCCTAACAAGTCAATTTTTATGCTCACTGCACTTGTATTTTAAAGTTTTGTACTAATTTGGGCTGCCTGGCTGACTCAGTTGGAAAAGAACACAATTTCTGATCTTGGGGTCATGAGTTTGAGCCCCACGTTGGGTGTAGAGATTATAAATAAACAAATTTAAAAAAATTTTTATATTAATTTGTACAAAGTTGTGTGCATGTACAAGCACACACATGCTTGCTAACTGTGTTATTCAAATTTTCCATTTCCTGGGATGCCTGGGTGGCTCAGTCAGTTAAGCATCTGCCTTCAGGTCAGGTCATGATCCCAGGGTCCTGGGATCGAGTCCCACATCGGGCTCCTTGCTCAGCAGGGAGCCTGCTTCTCCCTCTGCCTGCCACTCTTCCTGCTTGTGCTCTCTCTCTGACAAATAAATAAATAAAATCTTCAAAAAAATTTTTTTTCCATTTCCTTTTTTTGGGTCTATTTCATCTATCAAACTCTAAAATATAGAAGTTGGACTTCTCTCCATTATGGATATGGATATAGTTTCTCCTGGTATTTATATCAGCTCAATATACTTCAAAGAGCTACTGTTAAGTAAATAAAATTCCATGACTCTATGGACATATAGCAATGAAAAAATTCCTCTTTTCTCTTTTAAAATGTGTTTGATCTTAAATTTGATTATGACTAATACCAGTACTATTATACCTTCTTTCCTATGATTTCCCTAGTTTCACTGATAATTTTCTGTATATGTTCCTAAGTCAAACAGTTCTACAAGGTTTACTGGGGAAAAGAATAATCTCTCATTTTCTTCTTTCCCTGACCCAGTTGCCTCTCCCTAGAAATAATCCTGTTAGACTCTTTTAGATCATTATTTTGTCATTTACTATCACATCATTAAATAAGATGCGTGTATGGCTACTTCTTGCTTTTTCAGTTCTACATATTATCACATCATACAAATTGACAATATAGCTTTCTTTCACCCAGCCTAACCATATATCCCACGTCTACCTTCTAACCTTCCACCCTAATTTTGGTTAGGTCAACATTCACAATTACATTATTATAAAGTTCAAATGTTACTTATACATTTCTACCTTCAGCCATGACAGAGGAGATAGTAACAGACCAGGCCTACTAGCATAAACAACTAGAAAATAAGACAAAATATATGAAGCAACTGT